AACTGAATGTACGGTTCGAAGCCAAAGGTAGGTTGGCCATCAGTATTTCTGACCTGTTACATGATTGTGTACTTATCCAGGTACTATTATGATCATGTAGTCTTGTAGGGTATAATGACTGTAGTATACAGTTCCTGAACTTACTATCATGAAAGTTCATCTGTGTTGGTAGTTACATGTTTGAAGTTAAAACTTTTGGTCCAACACAAAAAATTACTCTCACCTAGAGCTTTCGATCAGTCACTCTGGTCTTCCTCAGTAGACTGACCCAGTGAAACTTGTCATGTGGCTTCTTTGAAGTGTGACGTCAACACTGGGACAAAGGTATCTGGTACTAGTGGTAGACGATGTTGGCCCCCGTCGTGGTTCAATGAAGGGTGATGGGCCCTGATGTCAATGGCTTCCTTCACCCCTCTCAAGAAATAGTCTTGTTCAGTGTGTAAAATCCTTACAGTGGGCCCATTAGGAAGCTCTAGGTGAGAGAATTTTTTGTGTTGGACCAAAAGTTTTAACAGTTTTTGAACTTTTTGTAAAAAAGAAAGACTCTTTACACACCCATTTATAGGAACTATATGTACATGTAGACTGATGCAGTGAAAGACACGGAAAAGTTGTGAAATATGCCATGTGATGGTATCAAGAGATCAAGTCATCCTGAACAGCAGAACAAAATAACTTTAACATATGACAAAAAGGGACCATTCTGCTGAGAACAGTGGTGCAATGTTGAAAAATGCAGTATACATTTCTTGCTGAGTAACAACTGTGTCATTTGGATCTGCATGATGATTGGTGCACAGTACACCAATCAGAAAACGGTATGGAAACTACCTGATGATACACCAATCAGAAAATGGAACCAGCGTGATGATTGGTGCACAGCACAGACTCTGTGTTTTAGGTTTAAAATCATAAAGGTACTAGAAGTATTTTGTAACATTGATACAATTTGATTCCATCAGTGGAAAGAAAAAAAATGACCATATTTTGCGTGATGTTGTATGATCCATTGCAGTATACTAGATGTGCATTTATACATGTAGTTTTGATACATTGGTATATGTACCTGTTACATGTAGTCTATATAGAAAGTGGCATTTACTTGGTGATATTGTGAACCTACATGTACTAGTAGATACATGTATGTTGATGAAGGTTAAACATAATGGCATTGTACAGGTAATGAGATACAGTAATTAGTATTACCCATGCAAATGGATAGATTTTGAAAACTGTCTGACGTTTCAACTTTTTGTCTCCAGAATACATTGTGGGAGTTTGTACATGTAAATGTTGTCATTAGGACAGAAGCATAACTTTGGTACAACTGTCCTGTCAATAAACATTCCAGTCTTACTAGCAGTTTGTGGTTCTATTTATTACCTCCATGAAAAATGGTGCTATTTTTTTTGGCGCGTCTGTGTGTGTGTGTGTGTGTGTGTGTTTGTGTGTGTTTCTGCAGAACGCCTTTATGGATTGTGATGATATTTGGTATGCTGGGAGGTCTTAGGAAGCCAAAGGTCAAGTTCAAATATGGGCATCCTGGTGGCTGACCTTGGTACTGCAGCAGAACTTCCAGTTTGGCAGGGAATACAGATGTGCAGGTTATGTAACAAAACACCAGCTGTACATGTGAGGCAGCGCGCCTACCCGGTTTGATTTATGAGGTTCTCCCTCTGGAATAGGCTACATGTACTGAGTTGACCATATCTATTATGGCCTGACCTATTTCAGGCCAAAGGTGCTACTGTATTAGCTTTTTGTTAAAAACAAAAACCTGTGTTATTTTGTTCTGTACTGTAGCGTTCTGTGTAAAAACATTTACAAAAACTCATTACATTTCATGGAGGTTTGAGATCTCCAAATTCTTGTTACAAGTCGTCATGTACTAGTATACATGTATTACTAGAGAGCTTATGCACTGCACTATGGAAAAAAGCACAGCATGGATTGTGACAGCTATATATTTGACAAAGGTTGCACCTTCATTCCCTTCATACATGTATGTGATTGTTGGAATAACTGTATATAAATAAATAAATCCTGTTGGAATAACAGGATACATAGCAACTGCACAAGGGTCCAAAGCATGGAATATGATAAAGGAAAGAGTATATTTTATGACAATCCTACATGAATGATTTAATGGGATTTCTATGCCAGCACACACGCTACATGTGTTGAATCAAATTCACAAGATAAAACAGAAAACCATGCTTCATTTGTATTATCTAAATTTTCTGATTTTAATACTTGTAGTTGAAACTTCTGGTCGATTTCTTACCCACTTTTTTTGTTACGCAACTTAAAGGTGCTCACTGTAGGATTTCGGTGACAAAACTAAAAATGTTCTTCATAACGAAATCTTCATGTTATTGCCATTAACATCAACGTTTTAGCACATCTGGATAGTTATTTCATACTTAATACTTTTACAAACAGTGCAAAAACTAATTGACTCATATGGTTGCCTCATCAAATCAAATCTTATGGTGATAGCAGTAAACATACATATTGTACAGTGGCTGGGCATTAACAAATAGACTAACAGTTTTTCTACACCTTTATATGGCAAATATGTCACATTTTACATCCTGAATATAATGCTATGGAATGACATTATGAGGGTACTGTGTAAAGAAATAAACAGAAAATTGACTTTAAAACATTGTGCTAATCTTAACTTTGATCACCTTCAAAAGAAGAAGAGGAAACCTGAGAGGAAGTCGTATTTCATTCATATTCACAAACCTGAGAGAAGCCTGGACGGCATTCCAGCCTCCTGGTTTTCATTTTGGTGCAAAAAACGCGAAAATTGTGGACCTTTTGAAATTCTGCTTCCTCTTAGTTTTCCTTTACATCTACGAAACGATTAACAAAGTTTGAAAAGATAGAAGTTGGTTGCACCAAGGTTTAGCCAGGACGCTGAACGTCACAGGTCCTCTCTGTACAGCGGCATCAAAGTTGGAACTCCTCCTGTGAGAACACAGGTCAGAATTATTAGAGACGTGTCGTATTTTGTTCTTAAAGGCATTAAGCGTAATGGACCTATACCATTATTACGTCACAGTTTGTTTACCGCAATGAATGCCGGTCAATCGATATATATCACCGTTTATATTGTACAGGGGTGTGTAGGGCGGTGTGTGTTTGTGTAGCGTTAGCCTAATATAAGGCTTTTAATACAGCACTACTTTCGTCTAACGTCACAACTAAATCACCCATGCGGCATGTAATGCTGTGTCAACACACTTAGACGCAGCAAAAATCAGACATACCTTACTTTGAAAACTTTGAAATGATCTTTATTCTTTAACTGATCGTTCTAGAATGTTCTTTAGAACAGGTAAACAAACTGTGAAGTAATAATGGTATAGGTCCATTTCAGGGCGGCAATAGTATATTTTGGATGAGGACATCTATATGATGTTGACATTTACTGTTATCTATGCACATTTTAGTCACCATTTCATACTTGAATTTGTTTGAGATAGCCTAGAAACAAGCTATGTGAGTCCTGGTATTTTGGGGTACCACCAATAGACAGCTAGAACCAGCCTTCAATACGAAACCGTATCCAGACCTGAAACAAGAAACTGTTTCTGTGTTGTTTTTTGACAGCCATTTTTACCTCACAGACATCTATGGGTAAGGGTTCATTAAACTTAATACATTAAATCATGACCAGAATATTGACTTAAAAATCCTGATTTACATGTACTGCCCTGAAATCGCTTTGAGTGTCTTTAAGTTAACAGAAGAGTCTGTAGTTGTCTGTGTGTACCATGAATTTACATATTGTTTTGCATACCCATGGAAGCATAACATGAACAATACGTCTTGCGTTCTTGATGTTTTAATGACACCAAAAATTATATAATATTTAAGAAATTGCACAACTTTGTTTTTGAAAGGCAATGTATGGAATGTGTGAAATAAGCAATTTAGTAACTTAATTCATTGCTTCAGCCTTTTGTTGACGCCGGATACTAACACATGGCATATATAAAAAGTCTATTTACAAAGAGGCCAAACCCTGTATTTGACACCTAAGACACTTGTCATGAATGTCCTTGGCATCTATGCCTAAAACCTGTCTACGATGTCCAAAGATTATAGCTGGGTTATGCTACTTGACGTCACTTCGAGACCGTTACATCGGGTAGTGTTCTGCATTGTCATAGTCGAAAGACTGTACGCTCCACCCAGCCTCCTTACTCAAGACCTGATTCGGTAAAACAACAGGTTTTAAACCGCTCCCACTACTACTACTCACGGAAGGCGTGACGTCTTTGATTGGCTGTAGATCGGTCCTGCGGCGGGTTGTACCATCCGATGCCGTCTCCAGGGTGGGGAGGGTGATGCTGACAGTTTTGCCAGACTTTGGCCGTCTGAACATGCTGGAACTACTTCTCTTGCTGAGGAGGTTGTGACTGCTGCGGCGCTGGGCCGCGTGTTGGAGACACAGGGAGCTCTCACGTGAAGGCGTCAGGCCGTAGATGGAGTTGCGCCGTTTTGTGTCCTCCTCTATGATAACCTCCTTGTTGGGGACAACCAGTAACTGGGCAGAACAGAGATGGTTTTAGTGTGGTTAGAGACTGTCAAATAGAAACACGGGTAACAGATCTCTATATTCTACTGCTCCATAAGTTGGATTTACCAATGGTAGTAAATGCCAGGGAAGTCGGGTAATGTTTAGTCTGTATTAAAACAGTTGTTAGAAACAGGAGGAGCGAGTAGAAACAGGTAAAAACCCCTCCTGGTTCAAACACACGACCTCCCGAGCACCAGCTTTAAAATCCGACGCTCTAGCCACTCGGCCGAAAAGGTCTGGACCCATCGGCCGGGTCAGTTGGTAGCGCCTATAAACCCCTCACTGTTACACAGTGCCAGACTCTACAATAAAAGTATCTCTTACCATCTATTACTATTACTGTAACCGCGACGGGGGCCGACATCGTCTACCAGATACCTTTGACCCAGTGTTGACGTCACACTTCAAAGAAGCCACGTGACAAGCTTCACTGGGTCAGTCTACTGAGGAAGACCAGAGTGACTGGTCGAAAGCTCTAGGTGAGAGAATTTTCGTGTCGGATTTAAAGTTTAACTCTAAACAACATATACTCTTGTGTGGCCCTTTTTCTGTTGTATGTGTGTGGTATCTGTGGCATCTCTGGTCCATTAGTTGGTTTGCCAACTACTGGCCCTGCTACTGATCCACTACTGTCGGCTACTGACTCAACTACTGATTTGCCACTGTAGGTGATCATGAGAGGATTTTTTGTGTTGGACCAAAATTTTTAACTTTAAACATTACTGTAACTGCATGATACACTACCTGTGGTGGGAGCACGCCTTCCTCCGTGTTGAGCACCAGTTTGTGGACGGTACGCGGGATGATGCAGGGTGCCACGAACTCCTCCCCCGTGTGCGGGCTCCCCGCCTGCCCCTGCACCAGGATGACGTCATCCATGGTGTGGTCGATCTCGAAGGAGCGTCGGTCGACCAGGTTGGTGGGCATGTAGCCTGTCTCCAGGCGCAGCCGCACTTTGTCGTGCGTCCAACCCTAACAGGGGGAAAGAGCTCGAGATTGTCTCCACATACCTTAAATTTGTACCTAAAGCTTCATACAGCTCTCAACCGTGAATAGTTTCATCAGGTCGGTAAGTCACTGAATAAAGACACTCTTTAAAAACAAAACCAATGGTTTATTACTCAGCCGACTGTCACCTTCCTTAGGGCTGTGCAATGTGAACCAGTCAGAATTGCCCTGAGGAAGGTGTCAGACGGTCACCGAAACATCGGCTGTGAATAAAACACTTGGTTGTGTAAAACAGTAACTGGGTTCTGGCGTATCGTATAGTGGATGTCTAACCTTCATCGACGCTTCATCGTTATCATTCATATTTGAACCGTTTGAAATGGCCCCAAAACTAGCTATGTGAGTTTTTTTTTTATTTTGCGGTACCACCAATAAATACTACAATGCCTGAAACATGCAACTGTTTTCCGTCAGCGACATTGCATTTTTGCCTCACAGGTATCAATAGGCTACAGGGTAGGTTTGAAGCAACTTACTACTGTAACATTAAAAACGACCATAAAATTGACTATGAAGATCAAGTATTAGTGCCCTGAAATCTCTTCGGGTGCCTTTAAGGAACAGCCGGTGCCTTACCTGGTAGGCCAGAGTCTTGAGCAGCAGGGGAGTGGAGATGCGGATGGCGACAACACGCCAGATTCTCGCCTTCAGGAAGTTACTGGAGAACAGGTCAAAGGCCATATCCATGTCCTCCGCACTGATGTAGTACGTCTGTAAGCAGAGATACCGTGTGCGACCTCATGTAATAAACCCATTCGACTTTCACGGATCACATCAACTGCTTACGTCACAGAGGGGGTGACACTTCGAACGAACGTCGTTCTAGAATGCTGAAGTCGAACGTGGCTTGCGCTCGCGGTGTCCCCCCTTTCTATTCGAAATGTCCCCCTTGTGACGTTTTTCTATTCGAAATGTCCCCCTTGTGACGTTTTTTTATTCGAAATGTCCACCTTGTGACGTTTTTCTATTCGAAATGTCCCCCTGTGACGTCTTTCTATTCTAAATATACCCCTTGCGTTGTGACGTTTTTTTATTCGAAATGTCCCCCCTTGTGACGTTTTTCTATTCGAAATGTCCCCCTGTGACGTCTTTCTATTCTAAATATACCCCTTGCGTTGTGACGTTTTTCTATTCGAAATGTCCACCTTGTGACGTTTTTCTATTCGAAATGTCCCCCTGTGACGTTTTTCTATTCGAAATGTCCCCCTGTGACGTTATTCTATTCGAAATGTTCCCCCTGTGACGTTTTTCTATTCGAAATGTCCCCCTGTGACGTTATTCTATTCGAAATGTTCCCCCTGTGACGTTTTTCTATTCGAAATGTCCCCCTGTGACGTTATTCTATTCGAAATGTTCCCCCTGTGACGTTTTTCTATTCGAGTTTCCAGTTTGTGCGATCATTAAAAGTCGAATGGGTCTATTTCGTTTAAGCAATTTCAAAAGTAGCCTGGGTGCCATCCCCGCTCCCTATAAGCTAGGCCCTAATGTCGCTAGCTAACTTCTGGTGATGACGTCACGTAATGAGCTAGACCGAGGAGCGCAATAGAAGATAACAATAAGATCTATCTTATGTTATATTGTTATTCTTTTATTGTGTTTGGGGATTGCCCCCAGGGTGAATTGAAAACCGCTCTCCAGGGCGATATGTTCTCTGGTTAAAAAAAAAAAGAAAACAAACAACGAACCTGAACAGACGTCTCACAGGACACGCTGGTTGACCGCGGCTGTTTGTTGAGAATGCCGATCTCGCCGATGATGTTTCCCGATGTCAGGTAGTCCTCGTACACGTCCAGGTCATCGTCCATGCTGTGCTGGGTCTCATAGTCCGTGTACTTCACAGCCGCGCCGCGAAGCTACGACAGGGCAACGTGTGAAAGCAATGCAGGTTTTTTATGTTTACCGAAGGAAAACATATTGTTTTTGCTCCATTTCTTCTTCTTCCTCTTCTTCTTCTGTTCCAAACACTAACCTATGACCTGGCCAATGGCCTCTTTTGTTGACGTCTGTCACCATAGTAACTGGTGTTGGGTTACATAATGTTGCAATTATATAGTGGGCATTTAGGCTCCTGCCGCCATATACATATACATGTACATGTATGTGAATGTGTTTGAGTTAAAGAATTAACAGAGCAGACCATATCCGAAGGTAAACATTATGCATTTGCAAATGTTACTTTTCTAGTTATATACTTACTTTCGTAATGCTAAGGTCACATTTTCAAACCTTGGCCCGGCCGGGCAGTCTTATGAACGAAAATTACGATATAAAAGACAACAACGCGCAAAAAGTTTTTTTAAAAATGATCATGAGAACTAGTTTCGTATGTTCTTGATATAAATTGTTGATTTTTCGTTAATCAAAACAGCCCGACCGGGCCCCGGTTTGTAAATGTGACCTCAGCATAAGGTCTATCGGTATATACTATGAAGATTTTTTGGTGGAGCCACAAGACCCCCTCATTCATGCTGTCTAGTGAGAATCATGTTCCACGGTTGGGTCATTCGATTTTGCATACATTACAATGCGAATGTCGAAATGAAAACTAAGCGGGTATCATGAGGGAAAGACTGGTCGAATGAATTAAATTATTAATACGTTACAAAACATCCCTTTTTGGTAAGTAATGAATAAATAAGTGACACATCTCGCCCTTACCTTTACCATACCCGAGACGATGAGGAACAGACCTCTAGGTTGTTCGCCTTGTTTGCAAAGAGTTGAACCAAAGTCGTGAAACAGCAACTTCGCCCGAGCCTAGGTATATATATAGGGGTGGCATCATCAAAAACGTTAACCGAGATTCAACTCAAAATCTGATACCATTTATAATGAGGGATTTGATTTACATAATACACCAGTTTACCTTTCAAGGATCGCTTTCACGATTACGTCACAGGGGGGACATTCCGAATAGAAGGCTATCCAAAACCTCTCCCTGTGACGTAAGCAGTTTATTCCAACCGTATTGGTGTTCACAAAATGTTGTGACTTTGAAATCAAACTCGCGCAAACATCTGTCTGAGTGTACGAAATCCAGATTTTCTCGGTTTTCATTGGATGTTTGCTCAATCTTGCTCATACTAACTTTAGCAAAAAAAATGCCTGTCAGAAACCCGTTGCCATGGCAACACAAAAAATTATTATCTTATTCCAATTACAGAATTGTTGCCAACAATATTCTAGGAAAAGTCACCAAGTTTTGCCGTTCAGACGCTATATGACATCAAAGTCGGCGCAGGCACTTTTAGGCCCCCCACCCCCGGTCTAGATAAGGTTCACTGACCGGTCTAGAATGTTCTTTAGAACAGGTATACAAACTGCAACGTAATAATGTAGTAGGTCCATTTCCTTACATACCTTCATGAACTCTGTAAGTTCGGCGTTTCCTTCCAGCCATGAGATGTGCCTGAGGAGCTGCTCAGGGTTGGGAGGAGGGATGGAGGGCGGGGCCCGGGCCAGCTGCTTCATCTTTATCTCCACAACCTGAAACCAACCATGTTTAAAGTTAAAACCTTTGGTCCAACACAAAAAAATTCTCTCACCTAGAGCTTTCGACCAGCCTCTAGAGGTCTCTAAAAGCCAGGTTTCAAGAACACACACGGCCTAGCTCTGCCAATTCAGAGGTGTCTCAACACATCCACATAGTCACCCGGACATTTTGTTTCACTTGACACTGTAAAGAGTTTAGACACTGAACAAGACTATTTCTTGAGAGGGGTGAAGGAAGCCATATACATCAGGGCCCATCACCCTACATTGAACCGCGACGGGGACCGACATCGTCTACCAGATACTTTTGACCCAGTGTTGACGTCACACTTCAAAGAAGCCACGTGACAAGCTTCACTGGGTCAGTCGACTGAGGAAGACCAGAGTGACTGGTCGAAAGCTCTAGGTGAGAGAATTTTTTGTGTTGGACCAAAAGTTTTAACTTTAAACATGTAGCTACCAACACAGATGAACTTTCATGATACTGTAACCAGCCATTTTACATTTACTGTATACTAACACATTGGGTCAATGTTGATTTGAATCATATGGAGGGCATCCGTGCGCGTTCATTTCCAAAAAAAGTTGTCGACCATACTGTTAATCATACAATGGACTGCAAAATTAGCAAACAGCCCTTATAAATTATCCAAATGAGGTCCTGATTCGAATAAGTTATATTTTATGAGAGTCGCCTTTACTTACTTCTAAATATCCCAAATATGAAATTCCCGACAGTTACCACTACATGTGCCAAATATTTTTCAGCTCACGGTTATTAGTGCATGAATCAAACAAAATATTGATGTAACTTACTAGTATATTATGATCAATAACCTGTAACCTTTTAGTATTTTTTAAACGTAGGACACGGATGCAGTCAATGTACAAAATGACTAATAAAATATTAATTAATGGTGGACGTACAAATGTACCTAATACCAGCCCAGAAGAGAACAAGAAATAGCCATGCTTTCAAGTACCAGAGTTATCAACTAAGGATTCATTCTTTCCTAGATCTATTGCAGAGTCCAGGAACTCGTTGTCACAAAGTTTATTAGGGGCATTGTCATTAGATAGCTTTAAACAATTTTAGAGTTAGATGTTCAAGGGTTAGGTGTAACACGTCGTTCTGTGTGATGTAGCCAGTTGCCGCCGCGCCGCGTGCCTGCGAAGCTGGTGTGTTATACCGGCGGCTATTATTATACCTGCTATACCGATACAGATAGGACCTACCATCTCCAGTTTTTTGGCCTCCGTCTCGTCCAGAAGCCCCCCGCCCTGCATCTCTCTGATGGTGTCGCGGGAGTGGTTCAGCACGGCCCGCATGGACTGTCGGGTCTTCACCGACACGGCAATGCCGGGGTGGTCGCGCTGCAGCAGACCTGGGAGGGTCAAACACACAGTATCAACATCCAGGTTCCTTTTAGTTGCACGTGCGGAGGATAGCACGTAAATACTATAATAGTACCTTTACCTCGTTTTATAGAACTGTAGTTACTCTACAATTGTAGTTACTTGGAGCTAGGATTACTATTTGTATTTCTAAAAAAAGCATTATTTTCGAATGAAACTGATTTGTAGGATTTTTATGTTTAATATTTCTTGACTTAGCGATAGAAATCTTTCAAAATTTTATCGACTCATGCTATTGTAAACAGCCTCGCAATTCATGACTTCCAATACGGCTGCCAGGAAGCATCATGTATATCTTGTTGATGAACTATTAAACCAGTCTACTACTACTAATACTACTTCTCCTCTTCCTCCTCCTTCTCCTACTATTACTACATGTACTACTACTACTGATGCTGCTGCTATTACTGCTACTACTACTACTACTACTACTGCTACTACTACTACAAAAATGTACTGCTGCTGCTGCTACTGCTGCTACTGTTACTACTACTACTACTACTACTACTACTACTACTACAGTAACTACTACTACAGTACTACTTTCGCTTATGTCTCGCAACGGATGAAGAGAAGCAAGTAAGCACCCCCATAGGAAGGCCTGCTGGACGCTACACTTTGCACTGGACTAACCGAGTTCACGGATGACCGCTCTCCGGCTGATGTCGGACTTCTGTCGAAGTTCCCGCGCGATGGCCTTGTTGTCGATGATGGTCGGGATCAGCTTCATGACCTCCTCCTCACCCACCACGAAGCCCTTCCCGACGTCATACCCGAAACTCAGTTTCTTATTGATCAGGTTGTCGATGACATTGATCATCCGGGGAATCGCTGCCTGTGAGGGAAGACGATCGTATCAACCCTTCAGTCAATGCAACAAACTATGCTAAAGAAATAATCAGCCTTGTAGCCAGATTATCGTAGGCTCGACGGTACCTTAACGGTGCTCAGAGTACTACCCGTCCGCCCAGGTGCTGATCAACCCACGCCAGGTTTTAGATGCTGGTTTTATATGCTGGTTGTAAACACGGGACCACCATTTAACGTCCTATCCGAGGGACGTCCCTAACCGAAGCTAGATACTCATTTACACCTGGGTGAAGTGAGGAAAGTCGTGTAAAGTGCCTTTCCCAAGGGCACAAGATCGGTGACACCGGGCAGGATTCGAACCTGGGACCTCTTGGGCCTGGGCCGAACACGCTACCACTACTACCACTACGCCACACGACCCCACTGTCATTGTCTGACCAACCTTGGACAGAATAGCAAAGTTCTTTCTATCACAACCATTCATTTTTCAAGCCGACGTTACGATGATCTTCTGTCATCTTCATCAGGACAATTCTGACTGGTTTACTGTGCACTGACTAGTTGTTACTTGGTGCATAGTGCACTGAATGTGTTACATAGTTCTTAGTGCACTAAGCTAGTTTTTTTCTGTTTACTGTCAGTGCACAGTAAACCAGTCAGACTGGCCCTGATGAAGATGACAGAAGGTCATCGAAACGTCGGCTTGAAAAATAAATGGTTGTGATAGAAAGAACTTTGCTATTCAGTCGTTTACCAACCTGATGAAATTATTTACCAACCTTAGACAGTCTGAGCATCCTCATCGCCCTGAGGAGACGGAAGATCTTGGCGATGCGGAAGATGGCGGGGTTGAAGTCGACGTTGCCGAAGATGTTGTCCAGGACGATGTCGATGATTGACACGGCGATGATGAACAGGTCGAACTGGTTCCAGTGGGAGAAGAAGTAGTGCTTCCGCAACGCCACGATCTGGAGGACACGATCGACGGAACTTCATATTTAAAATGGAAAAAAATGTTGTGTTTTCTGTTTCAGTCCTGAAAAAATATCTTTTTTTTTTTCTTTTTCTTTTTACTTCAGGCCATGTTGATTTGATGAAATGGATGAAATGTAAAGAAATGAATTTGAAGAGTAGATTATTTGCCATACCATACTCCGTGTCATTTGTTCAATCTACATGACCACATAGATTTTATAATACTAAGCAACTTTTTTTGCCAAATGTTTATTTTATTCGCACGCTCGCATCAATTTTGGCGTTCCCAGATGTCATCCATATAATCAAATCAACATGGCCTTAGTGATATCTATATAGCGGTCCAACAATACACATACAAAGTAAAACTTGCATGAGGGCACTTTTATTTTCAATGTCAATGTTAGAAAACCAAATGTACATCGTTTTATCATTCAGGTTGATGAGCTCAAAAAATTTACTTATTACTTATGTCCCTTGCAGGGGTTCACCCCCCAAAAAAGTCTAGGGTCGGCAGGTTTTTTGGGTGTCGGTTGGGAAACAAGAAACACTTCGTAAAGATACAATATAAAATTGTATCTTTACGGATACCTTAGAGCTTTCCTAAAGGTTGATTTTCTTCACTCTAATGGCCATTTACATGCTTTGATTTTGTGTAGTGACCAATCGTCATGAAAATGAGGAAAGCACCGTTTACTAGTGTTGCAAAATAAATCAGACTAGCTGTACCTGACAGGTAAGTTCAACTGGATTTTCTCATTACTATTTTTCTCTTAAAATAATCAAACAAAAAGGGACACGTTTCTTTTGGCTCATAAACTTACAGTTTATAGTCAAAATCGTAAATCTCTTCATAAGGACTTAACATGATTTTCTTTTATAATGTGAAAAAGTACTAGCTCACAATTTTGAAAACAAATGGTGGTCATAGCATGAAAGTTCATCTGTGTTGTTACAAGTCATTATGAAATAAAAACTAAGCTTTAACTTCCATCACTTAGATTACAGAATTGGGACTTACCCCAAAATTTTCGGTTGACTCCATCAACTTTGTTCACGGAATGGACCCGTCTACTCTTGGAACGTGACGTCAGAGACACGTGACCGTAGTAGCGGGTCATACGTGCCAGATAACTTGTGTCGCCCCCCGTCTCTGTAGGCCTGTGAGCGCTACTACGGTCACGTGTCTCTGACGTCACGTTTCAAGAGTAGACGGGTCCATTCCGTGAACAAGGTTGATGGAGTCAACCAAAAATTTGGGTAAGTCCCAATTCTGTAATCTAAGTGTTGGAAGATATAAAGCTTAGTTTTTATTTCAAAGAGGTGGTCATTCTTATTTACAGGACTGAAGTGTGACGCACCTTTAAGATGGCCTCCAAGACGTAGATGACGAAGAAGATGTAGTTGGTAATTCTCAAGTAGAACTGATACTCTGGAAATTGCGGGTGTGATTCCTGTGGAAGATTGTGTCATTTCTAAATTAACTTAAAGACAGACTCATGCAGAGTTAATCTGAAGTAAACAAACTAAACCAAACATTCTTCCTTTCTATTATCACAGCCGCATATACCCATACAATCACTACTAAGCGAGATGAAGCCGAAAAGAATAGAAATTAGACATTATTTACACTCTTATATGTTCATTTGTATGTAATGTATATGTTTATGTTCATGTTCTGTACCCATGCGACCTGTACTAAGTTCTGTAGAACACTAATGTACAATAAAGGTCTTCATTCATTCATTATCTCAAAGATACGAGCAATGTCACTATATGTAAATAGAGTTATAGAATATCATTGTAATCAGCATACTAATAATATTCGTGCTATTTCGATTGTACTGGTTAGATAACTTAATCGATCGCAGCGTTAATTAAACATATATGAGTTAATTAAATTGCATCAGTGCTTATTTCAATTAATATACCAAACAAAATTAATCAATTCATTAATTTGTTCAAAATAGTATAGTTATTGCACTGTGTTATTGAAGCAACATTAGACCTAGACATTCTTTTTTCCACATTCTTTTTGCTCAATTTTCACAGGAAAACAAAAAAGCAGACATAAACAGACGTGCATGAATATTCTTAAACAGACATGACAAACAATCAGACAGGCACATGAAACTACATAAAAATAATAAACACAAAATACATAAAAAGTACGAAAATATGATTAGAAAATATAATCAGTAATCAAAATTCAAAACCATTGGAACATAATGAAATTGTTTTTTGTATTCATATATCAAAAACAGAACATACAATGTAGTGAACCATCCCTTACACAATAATAATAACTGATCATACTAATAACAATAATCATAATAGTAACAATAATACTTATAATCTTAATGATAACTGATCATAATAATTATTCACAATCCGACTCATAGCTGATCATAATAATAACTGATCATAATAATAACAATATTGACATTGTTCGATTGGATACCTCTATGACGAACTCGATGATGATGGGGATAAGGTTGAGAATGATGAGCACGTTGATGGTCCATTCAAACGCAGGGTGACAGACGATGATAAACACGGTTCGCAGGACCTTGTGTTCAGGCTTGGGCAGCTGATCTTTCTGCTTGTCCGTCACCAACTCTTCTAGTTTATTTCTCTGTATGAGATTACACAAAAGATAAGCTAATGCATGTCAGCTTGCCGTGATTTTTTTTTTATATTATACATGTAAGGCCACACCGACTTAATTTTATGGATGACATCCTCTGAATGAAGACCCCCAAACTAGTGCACGGCCAAAAATGAAATAAAAATGCTACTAAACCACAGGAATACTAGTACAAGGCTGGTATTGTGAATTTGCGGCAGTACATAGCGACGTATTAGCCTGGGTACCATCCCCAGTAGTATATTCGCAAACTCTATAACTGGGTCTGGACTTGAACACATATGTAGCGTCTGGAGTCTAAATATTCGTTCAGATTTTGAACGAGCGCGCTGATTGGTCCTACTCGTCTAAGCCCTTTTTGGGGTGTGTACATATTAGGTAAGGGCCGTTCGGACACGTTAGCGTCCGTTCGAACGTCCGAACGGCTACGTTAAGATAGATCCTTGTTCTTATCTTATTTTCATCAACATGTCCGACGGCGAACCGAACGCTAAAGCGCACATGATATAGCCGTAGTCAGTCTTTCCGCGATCGATCATCAACAGAGCTGACGCACAAGCCGCTCAGCTCTTGGAGGTTGATGTTGACCTTGCAATCACGTCCGTTTTGGACGATTTAGACGGAATATCGTCGCTCAAAAATGAGCAAAAAGATGCATTGAACAATTTCAAAATAGAACACACCGAGAAAAGGAACACTCGCGCGAAGATCTGTGTTTACAAAACAACAAACATCACTTGAATAAATACAGGCGCGCCATTGGCCGTCGCCTCTGAGGCTCAGCCAATCAAATGAAGCCCCGCTGCTCGGGCTAGCTCATTACGTGACGTCATGACCAATCGTTTTATATGTGTTCAAGTCCAGACCCAGTTATAGAGTTTGCGAATATACTACTGGGGATGGTACCCAGGCTAGCGACGTATACGACAAGCCGACACATGCTGTTTTTTTTTTTGCAGAATTTATTAATCGGCACGAGTTCTTGCCGTCGTTCGGTAGCCTGGGTGGCATCCGATCCAAAGTTACAACCGGCTTCTTATTGTCAGTAACTTACCATGGGCTAGAGTCCTAGTCTAGAGGCCTAGAGCCTCGGAGGACGTGATGTTTAACAAAAAAAAAAACCGGGCCAAAATCAATGCGCGCGGATGTCATCCATAAAATTAAGACGATGTGGCCTGAGCTCCATGAACGGTTACGTCACTGAGGGGTGGTGGTGGGGGGGGGGTAATTTCGAATGGAACACCGTTCTAGAACCGGCTTTCGCTTGCTTTGTTGCCTCTGGCAAATGGTTTCTGAAAATTTCGCACCTGCATCGGTACAAGGAGTCTTAACTTTAAGCATATCGATACTTTGCTGAAGGATGGCTATCCCCAGTTTCCTTCCTCTCAACCTCACCCGACAGCCGATTTTGGCACCTCAGAGAGCAGACCATCGCAGTGATCTGCCAGGGGGGACACCGCAAGCGAAAGCCGATTGTGACGTTAGCAGTTTTTGCAATGCCTAAAAGGTAAACAGGTCCATGAGAAACCAAGGCAGTCTAGACTCATCCTAGAAGTTCCGTAACCCCCTGTCACACATAGCCGAATCGAATACGGCCTCCCGAACACTATCGGACTCCCCCAACCATGGTTAGGAAAGTGTCTGAAGTAAGGTCAGCTGTGGTTGGCAGGTTTTCGAATTCGGTGAGGTCGGCTACTGTTCGGCTGTACCAGTCGAATGTTTCAAAATGTTCAAAACATACTGGAATCATCAGTGGAATGGATGTTTGGTTGGGTCATTGTGGGCTGGTGGTTAAAAGGCCAGCATTGGTCAGGGTTTGGTTGGCAGTCACGTTTGACTCAAACTTAACTCAAATTTGATTTGAATTGTATCGAAAAGCAGGCATGGACTACATATCTGGTTAGACTGCTCCCAACTTGGTTGGTTGGTTGGTTGGTTGGTTGGTTGGTTGGTTGGTTGGTTGGTTGGTTGGTTCGTCGTGGGAAGGTTCTGTGTTCTGAATGACTGTGTGACAGGGGCTTAAACGTACTAATCGCACATACAGGATGCACTTTGCATCATATAAGACTCACCAACTTTGGCAGCAGCCCCTTGATTTTCCAGTGCTTCTTTATCTCTTCAATGTCCACAAACTCGCCCATACTGTCCGCCGCTGACTCCGTGGCCTGCACCAACACGCGCACCGCCTCCCGGTTCAACATACCGTGCTCAAACTGCTTCCAGTAGCTCACCTGGGGGAGCAGAGCAATCATCGTGGAAATGACTGTTACAGTAGTAATTACTGTAGTATTAGTTACTGTAGTATTAGTTACTATTACTGTAGTAGTAGTAGTAGAAGTAGTAGAAGTAGTAGTAGTAGTAGTAGTAGTAGTAGTGGTAGAAGTAGTAGTAGTAGTAGTAGTAGTAGTAGTAGTAGTAGTGGTAGAAGTAGTAGTAGTAGTAGTAGTAGTAGTAGTAGTAGTAGTAGTAGTAGTGGTAGTAGTAGTAGTAGTAGTAGTGGTAGTAGCTGGTGGTAGTGATAGTGGTAGTGGCAGTTAGCCTGGGTTCCATCCTGGTTAGTTTACGTCCGCTCCCACAGTCGCTATCACCAATGGACCTATCACATTATTACGTCACAGTTTGTTTACCTGTTCTAAAGAACATTCTAGAACGGTCAGTTAAAGAATAAAGATCATTTCAAAGTTTTCAAAGTCAGGTATGTTTGATTTTTGCTGCGTCTAGTTTTGTTGTCACAGCATTACATGCCGTAATAGGTGTATGATTTGGTTGTGACATTAGACGCAAGTAGTACTGTATTAAAGTCCTTATATTAAGGCTAATGCTACACAAACACACATCGTGCTACGTACCCCTGTACAATATAAACGTCGATTGACCGGCATTCATTGCGGTAAACAAACTGTGACGTAATAATGTGATTGGACCCATCACATTATTACGTCACAGTTTGTTTACCTGTTCTAAACAACATTCTAGAACGGTCAGTTAAAGAATATAGATCATTTCAAAGTTTTCAAAGTCAGGTATGTTTGATTTTTGCTGTGTCTAGTTGTGTTGACACAGCATTACATGCCGAAATGGGTGATTTAGTTGTGACATTAGACGAAAGTAGTACTGTATTAAAAGCCTTATATTAGGCTAACGCTACACAAACACTCACCGCGCTGCGCACCCCTGTACAATATAAACGTCGATTGACCGGCATTCGTTGCGGTAAACAAACTGTGACGTAATAATGGTATGGGTCCATTGTAGTAGTTACAGTAGTAGTAACTGTTACAGTAGTAAACTGGCAGTCTTTGTAGTATATCACTATATGTACTCGTAGTAGTAATATTAGTAGTAGTAGTAGTAGTAGTAGTAGTAGTAGAAGTAGTAGTAGTAGTAATAGTAGTAATGGTAGTAGTAGTAGTGGAAATAGTTCTAGTAGTAGTAAACTGTTTTGTAGTAGTAGTAGTAGTAGTAGTAGTAATAATAATAATAATAGTAACTGTAGTAGTACAATGTAATAATAGTAGTTAGTACTAGTAGACGTAGAAGTAGAAGTAGTAGTGGACTGCTTTTGTAGCAGTAGCAGTAATAAGTGCATCATTGATATTAGCCCACGCTAAGAACTATTTACCTTCTGTGCCTTGAGTGTGCGAAGTCTTGCCTCCTCCGCCATGTCCTGGTACTCCCGCGGTGAGGGCTCGTTCGGTACCATGGACTTACAGTCCTGACACTGGCTCATTCTTTGGAACGGAACAAACTCCTCTGCGTTCACCTGTTATAGAAGAACTTTATTGACACAACAAAAGTACAGCAACTTTCGTAAGGTCTATGTCTAGACATAAAACAGACACGTGGGTACAAGAATAGACCTATGTACAAAACTAGATGAATCAACTAATACTACTTGCTCTAAAGTTCTAAACATTCTTTGATATATTAACCTATTTGTACACAGTAAGGGCTATTACCTTCTAGAATTTAGAGTATAGAGAACATAAAATATAGAAACCCTGACGTTAGTCTCTCTGTGCGTTAGCTTTTCATGATGAAACTGGAAATGAACTTATAAGAACGGCTGCCGTGCGTTTTCATTTGAATTCGTAAACGGCCGTTTTTCTTATTCCATAATTTGTCTCAAGACATGGTACACGTAGGTACAGGTAACTTATTCTATGCCACCACCGACTCAGAGGGTGAACGCATGAACGGAGATATACCCAAGAAATTTGGCCTAAATTAAGGAATCAGGACGACTCGGACCAATAACAACTCGGCCCTTCGCAAATTTGGTCAAAGATCGATGATATTTGTTCGAAAATTGACATCGTGTGTGCGTGTGTCTCTGCCTAAATACTGTCTCCGGTATCGGGCCGAGTTGACCAGGGAGATGGGCCGAGTTGACCAGGTAGATGGGCCGAGTTGGTCGAGTCGTCCGACATGCAATACGGTGATGCGGAATACATCTTGTCGTGTTTCATTCATGCCATACCAAATGCCAAAGTTCCAAAATTAGGTTTCCCTAAACAAAAATGAAACAACATTCAGTTTCAACGTCCGAATGCGGTATTCAAATTTTCCAAAGTGGTACACTCGGCTCAGGCAAAATGCGTTCAAATTATCATCCGGAAGTTTAGAAGCCTGTGTGATAACCAAATAGAACCCCAGGCTATATCGCTAGTTATCACACGGGCTGGAGCTAGCACCCGTATTGAACGTTATCGCGGCCCAGGTATGACATAAATTTGTACATGAACTTACTGTGGTCCAAAGCCTATTGGACATTACCTTACAATGTCTTATTCTAGCAAAGCACAGTGCAGCTTGGTACTGTAGGTGGGCCAGGCAAGTGTCAATAGCGGCGGCACATTTTGTAGGAATCGGTTCTAGGAACTCCTGAAACACAGGTACAAACCCACGGTTCACTCTTCAAGTAAAGATGACATCAACATCTGTCGTCTTTCTGTCGTGATGTGTAACAAATCTTGATGTCACCTCCCTGAAGTTTTTTAATGGGTTCGTACCTATGTTTTAAGGAGTTTGTAGTTTGATAAGAGATATATAAAAAAGCACCACGACTTCAATATTGTGTTGAAAATAATGTTGAGTGACCATTTTTGTACTGGTGGTTTCATCAAGATTTGCTCCATTTCTTTGACAGGTCTGCAAGTGTTACATGTTATCTCTTATAAAAAAATAACGTTTCTCCAAATATCAAAGTCTTTTTGGAATCTGATCTTGTTGATTATACAGTATCATCAAAAGGGCATTTTCTTGCCCCCGGTTGTCTAGTTGGTTTTGTCGTGCTTTGAACCACTCATCGGATAATAGAATTCGAATGTACGAAATTTGTTGAGCGTTACTTAGGCAGTCGTCTGATCTGTGAGGCCCAAATAAGTTGCTTATCATTATGATTATCAGTAGTTATAATATCCAGTAACCATGTTACCGTTTTGTCCTTATCAAAGTCCTTGGTTGGTAAATTACATTATGAAAAAATGTTAAACTGTTCTCCAACTCATAAATTTGACTCACCGGAATAGATCGACTGAATCACTCAGTCTTCCTCAGCTATCTGACCCAAATGCTGTGGACACGTGATTTTTCCCACGTGTGACGTCAGCAAAGGGTCAAAGGTTGTCTGAAATCGATATCGCCCCCCGTCCCGGTTGAGCGATGGTTGAAGTGCCCTGATGCATATGGCCTCTTTTATGCCTCGGGGGGCGATATCGACTTCCGACAACCTTTGACCCTTTCCCGACGTCACACGTGGGAAAAATCACGTGTCTACAGCATTTGGGTCAGATAGCTGAGGAAGACTGAGTGATTCAGTCGAAAATTCCGGTGAGTCAAATTTATGAGTTGGAGAATCGCCGATTCTACCAGACCGGGATCTCCACCCTGACATGTAACTATACGTTATCTTATTATCTTTTCATTCCAAAGTTACACAGATAAAGTTGTGAGAAATGAAATGACGTACTTCTTCGTCCTTGGTCTTGTACGGGTCCTGAATCTCGCAGGCCTTCTCCACCAGGTTCCACTCGGCGTCGGCCAGGAAGCGGTCCCCCTTCAGCATCTGGAAGGACCGGTTCTGGGCGTCCTTCACCCGCCGTACGGCGCTGTACATCGTCATGCGCTTGGGCGCAGAGATATCGCTCATGCCTGCACAAAACACAGATGTACAATGTAACACAATCTTTTACTGGTCCTTTTGATTGCAACGTTTAGAAACCACGTAGTACTTGTGTTTACATGATATTGTATGAGGAGGGAGTTTTTCTTCACATGTACCTGTTTCCATTTTAAGTTAAGTGGGGCTGTTAAAATAAGTTACGTGTATAACTTGAGTGCAGTCCCACTTTGTCCTTGTTACCTCCATGAAAAAATGGAGGTATTGTTTTTGGCGCGCGCGCGCGGGTGTGTGTGTTTCCACACATTTGTAGTCAGCATAACTTCAGAACGCCTTTATGGATTGTGATGATATTTGGTATGCTGGTAGGTCTTAGGAAGGCAAAGGTCACGGTCAAATATGGGCCTCCTGGTGGCAGAACTTCCGTTTTTGTATCTTTTACAACGCATGGAAAACAGATGTATGGGTTATGCAACAAAACACCAGCTGTCAAAGACTTCCTCTAACGCAAAACACGTGTGGAGGCAGAGCGCCTACCCAGTTTGATTAATGAGGTTCTCCCTCTGGAATAGGCTACATGTACTGAGTTGACCATTTCTATTACAGCCTGAATTATTTTAGGCCAAAGGTGCTACTGTTTTAGCTTTGTGTTTGAAAACAAAAACCTGTGTTAATTTGTTCTGTACTGTAGTGTACTGTGTAAAAACATTTTTTAAAAACCTCATATATTTTATGGAGGTATGAGATCTCCGAATTCTTGTTTTCCATTCTAGTTTCACCTGTTTTTTTTTATATTTAGAACTCACCCAGTAGCTTCAGCAGCACCTTGATGGTCGTGGCGTTGATGAGCAGAGTCAGGAACACGATGCCGGCGATGTGGATGAGGACTTTGTTGGCGACATTTATCTTCCAGTCAACGCTGGAGCCGGTCTCGAACTCCTGCTGCATGACGAGCAGGGCCATGGCGAGTCCCACGGCGCCGCGCAGCCCGGACCACGCCGTCACCACGCCGTACCGCCACGACATCCCGTACCCCACCCGCGACGTGGCCGGGGACAGGATGGTTATAACGATCAGTCTGGCAGGCGTGCGGGATGCAACAAATACAACCATTAGAATCTATATAGAATGGACCTATTACATTATTACGTCAAAGTTTGTTTACCTGTTTTTAAGAACATTCTAGAACGGTAAGTTAAAGAATAGAGATCATTTCAAGACCCTTTCAAGTTTTCAAAGTTAGAGGTCTTTAATTTTTCCTGGGTCTAGTTTTGTTGACACAGCGTCACATGCCGTAATGGGTGATGGGTGACAGTAGACGAAAGTAATATATGTAACGCTACACAAACACACAAACATGTACAATTTAAGGAGGCACACCGCAGTTTATTTTGGGTCTCAATTCGATTCTGCATACCCTCAACTCTAGCGACCGTCTCTTTCAGGAAATACCTTTTAAGCCAAAACACTATGTTTACAAATGAAGGCTATCCCTCTAGCTACGAGAACAACAGAATTTCAATTCCTCTCACATTTCAGTAAATTTTAGAGGGAAAAAGAATTTTTCGATGAAAAAGGATGCTAAACATTGGCCATTTTAACGTGGAATTAGACCTGTTACCCAGAATTTAGCAACCCATAAGAATCAGCAGTCACAAATTGAATATAGAAACAGGAAGATATTACAATGTAGCCCCTGACCAAAGATTTTGCCCATTTTGCCCACAGAAAATCGAAGATGAATTTCATTTTATTATGAAATGCTCTAGGTATGATGTCCTACGTGATAAGCTATTCAAATTTCTCACTTCAAATACGACAGATTTCAATAGACTTGTTGCTACAGATAGATTTGATTATATATTTAAATGCAACAGCCCACACAATGCAAAAATAGGTAAATACATAAAAGACTGTTTTGTTATTAGAAAGAATACTGATTTATATTTGCTGTCACATGTACCCATAGATAACTCCGCCTGATTGTAAAGCCTAAGCTAACTTTTGATTATCTTTTCTATATATAAGTTGCTAAGTTTTATTCTATACCTATCTATTTTACTATGCTACTTATTGTTACCTATTTGCCATACAATGTACCCTGTACAATTGTCGTGCAATAAAGTTCTTCATATGACATATATGGTCGGAAAGAGAAAACACTTATGTCTTACTAAAAATGTATAAAGAAAATCCTAACATATGTATTACTAAAAATGTATAAAGAAAATCCTAACACTGAGATTATCACATAGCCCGCCGCGCGAGGCATAGCGACAGCACCCCCAGCCTACAAGGACTGGTCAAACCGAAGCACCGCGCTCAAGGCGGAAGGACACCCGGAAGTAAGCCTCGGGCCCGAAATCAATTATCACTCGTGCCCGAAATCAATTATCACTTCTAAATACACTTTCCATCCATGTTAGTAGTTAATACAATTTTTTCAGCAGATTATGATATGAGAAATGTAAACTCAAACATGCACCATCGGAACCCCTTCGTCAATTTTTGAAATGATCTTAAAGTTTATTCTTTAACTGACCGTTCTAGAATGTTCTTTAGAACAGGTAAACAAACTGTGACGTAATAATGGTATAGGTCCATTACAAACAAACTATTACATAAAAAACAAGAGTTCCGAGATCTCATACCTCCATGAAATATGGGCTTGCTTTGTCCTCATTCATTATGCAAATAACATCTACATTGACATAATAAATGCATAGTGGTGCAAACCTTTAAGTAACTTACACATATTACGAGGTATAAAATCCCCATCATTCACCGATAAGGATTTACAGAATTTTCACATTAATTATGCAAATTAGATCATCATTTGCATAATTGGTATCTGTTGGTGTTCTGCCTCCGGTAATTATAGAATTTCCTCCTTGATTATGAAAATTAAGTCCTCATTTGCATAATTTGTATTTAATTATATACAACTCTCTCTCAGCTACCTAAACACCAAAAATGGTGAAAATACGGTGTTCCTATTTGGACCTATTGGATTTGGAAGATTTCGCCAGAAAGTGCCCTGCAGTTCTAGAACAAGCTGCTAGGGGGACCAAACCCACACCCCGTTACCAAAAGTCAAGACCATAGCATGTTCAGAGCAAAAGATACTAAAACCGAAAGTTCTGCTGCAGTACCAAGGTCATCCACCAGGAGGCCGGTATTTGACCTTGGCCTTTGTCTTCCTAAGACCTACCAACATACCAAATATCGTCACAACCCATAAAGGCATTATGAAGTTATGCTAACTACAAATGTGCGGAAACACAAACACACAGACACACACACAGACATACACGCCAAAAACAATACCTCCATTTTTCATTGAGGTAAATAGTAAATCATCAGTCCGATATCTCTACAAGTTCTTTGTCATACTTCTAAATGTTTCCAATGACTGGGCTGCTCGTACATGTGGTGGCAAGGGGTTCCACACAGTCGCCCCCGAGTACCTCAGTGACCAGGCTTTGGAGAATAAACTTTCTTTCATGCAAGTCTGTCGTTTTTGTTTTCTTTGTGTCTTTCTAAAGGGTTATGATAACCTTCTCTCCTCGGGTGGTATTTTCGTGCGTGCTCGCCAGTACGTAACGTTACACGGCGGCGATCTGATACACTGCATTATTTCTACTATCGGGACCTGAAACAAGACGCAAGATTCCTATTTTGGGGTATAAAATGTTGTCACAATGGTAATACATGTACACTATATGAAACCGACCTTTACAAAGTACCATATTTGGTAGCGCTGTGAGGGTGTACCATTACCCCTCTACATTTGCCCAGAAAGGAGTTAGCAACGGACCAAAAAGCGGCCCTTACAGTGTAATCGGACAGTTACTGTTTGGTTTGGGTAATCAAGTATGAACACTTAGTAACACAAGAGAAAGGAGTAACTCGAAGGTTGACTCTACCCCCCCCCCCCGCGGCCGGGATCAAACCCGCGCCGCTCACAACCAGCGCACCAACCGATTAGGCCAAAAGATCCAGGATCCATGTCTTTGAAGGTAGCAGAACACAGTTTTCGCCCTATGGGGATTTCTATAGTTAAGGACCCCAAGATTACTCGCTTCGACGCGGTAAAAATTATAGTAGGGTACACTTCACAAATACGAAAATCGAATATGTTTGAGAAGAAGGTACAAACTACCAAAATATCTCGAAACCAAAAAATCCTGTCGGCGTATCTGCTCGTAACGTACACTTTGAAATCGCCTCCTACGGACGAGACCTGAACTGCAGCCGACTCACCCGGAAAGCCAGTTGCGCAATACGGCGCATTTATACACGAACTGCAAAACCTTCACAATTCAAATCATACAGTCTCAAACCCGATACATTCCTACACCACACAGCACAATGTAACATTTGGCTGACGCTCTTATCAGGCTTTCTACCCAGCCTTTAAGAATATTCGCTGCACTACTTTCTATACCCGCGTCATCGACCCGGGGGTCGCCCATTAATACTGTGTTCTGCTACCTTATCTGTATCGGGATAGCCCGAGGACAAAGCTGGTTTAACCACCTTTCTGCGTAACACACCACCTATTTTTGTCGATCTGCCATTTTGTTCAGCTGCAGGAAGATAGTTTCTCCAACATCTAGGCCGATTCAGCGTTTGGTAAAACCTACAACTTCAGAAACACACAGGTGAGACGTTTGTTAGTAATATGTGTTCACTAATAGAGTATTGCCAGGGTGAAAGGTACGAAGTAGCGAAGGTGTACGAAGTTAGAAATGACTAGGCCTTACTTTGTACTGAGGGCGGGGGCTGGTGTACGATGTACTCTCCAAGCAGAGGTTGTTGGGGAATGATCGTTAGCTTTTTATATCTGTTTTTTTTTTTTGTCGCTACCCCCACCCGTCGGTGGCTGGCGACCTTCTCCGGCTAATGGATACTGCCTGGCCAAATTGATACTGTATTTCTGCCACCGAAAGGGATCTGCTTGGAGATTAATACGATGTACAGAGTTCACGTAGCACCGTGTGACGTCATCTAACTTCATACGAAGGGGGGGGGGGGGCAAGGGACGAAGTACGTAGACTGGAGCTCTGTCTCAGTCTGTTTTACTGATTTTTGTTTTTAGAAAATGGCAGAGAGAAGCTGTGAGATTCCTGTGGACAATCTGACAACAGACAAACCGCACAAATGTGACCAGTGCGACTATTCCACTGCACGGAAATGCCATTTTAACCGACACATTGTGGCTAAACACTCTGGTGAGAAACCCTACATGTGTGGGGTGTGTGGATTCAGGACAGCTTACAAGCCTGCTCTAATCAAGCATATGTGGACCCATACTGGTAAGAAACCCTACAAATGTGACCAGTGCGACTTTTCTGCTGCACGGATATGCGAACTTAACCGACACATGGCTAAACACACCGGGGAAATTAAACCCTACAAATGTGACCTGTGCGACTATGCTGCTGTACGGAAACACCATTTTGAGCAACACATGTCTAAACACACTGGAGACAAACCCTACATGTGTAGGAAGTGTGGATACAGGACAGCTCACAAGTCTACTCTATCCAGGCACATAAGAACCCATACTGGTGAGAAACCTTACAAATGTGACCAGTGCGACTATTCTGCTTTACAGAATAGCCATTTAAAGCAACACATTATGGCTAAACACAATGGAGACGAACTCTACATGTGTGGGGAGTGCGGATACAGGACAGCTTACATGTCTCACCTAATCCTACATATGAGGACCCATACTGGTGAGAAACCCTACAGATGTGACCAGTGCGACAAACTCTACATGTGTGGGGAGTGCGGATACAGGACCGCTCAAAGGACCACTCTTTTACTGCATTTGAGGACCCACACAGGAGGAAAACCCTACAAGTGTGACCAGTGTGACTATTCTGCTGCACAGAAATGCCATTTACAGGAACACATGGCTAAACACACTGGAGACAAACGCTACGAATGTGATCATTGTGACTTTTCTGCTGTAGAGAAAAAGTATTTAGACTCACACATAGTTAAACACCATATATTCAAACCCTATATGCTGTAGTAAGTAGTAGTAAGCCCGTTATTTAAACTCGAAAGCTTGTTCGGTTCATACATACGACCGCTTTTCAACAAGGTGGAGGGTGAGGGCGGGGTCACGGATTACAAATCAAACCAAAAAGATACAAGAATTCTGAGACTTCATGCCTCCATGAAATATGTAGAGTAATATGTAAATGTTTTGTTTCATTGAATATGGAAATAAGGTGGCAATTGATATAATGTAGTTTAATTTAAGTGTTCTAAACTCAACTTACAATATTTTGCGTGTCAAGCTCCTATCCTTTGGCAATATTTCATTTAAACATCCTCAATAAACTTCCTAATTAATTATGCAAATTAACTACATATTAGCATAATATATGCATAGTTTTGTTAACATTTAAGTAACCTACACATATCAGAAGGTATTGAATTGCCATCATTTACCATTAAGAAATCATATAATGTTTGCAATAATTATGCAAATTAGGTCATCATTTGCATAATTGGTATCTGTTGACGTAGTATCTGCCATAGATTACATATATTACATGTATGAAAGTACTATAATGTAAAACACTGTAACACATTAATTATGCAAATTAGCTCCTCATTTGCATAATTCAATTCAATAGTGTACATCTCTCTCTCAGCTACCTATCTACCAAAATGATGAAAATATGTTGTTCCTATCTGGACTTATTGGCTTTTAAACATTTCGCCAGAAAGTGCCCTGCAGTTCCAGAACAAGCTGCTAGGGGAACTAAACTCACACCACTTATTCCTGACAGGAAAAGCTATCTGTCACCAAAACATCAAGACCATAGCATGTTCAGGACAAAAGATACAAAAACCGGAAGTTCTGCTGCAGTACCAAGGTCATCCACCAGCAGGCCCATATTTGACCTTGACCTTCGTCTTCCTAAGACTTACCAACATACCAAATATCATTACAATCCATAAAGGCGTTCTGAAGTTATGATGACCACAAGGTTGCGGAAACACACACAGACAGACAGACAGACACATACAGACACACACACAGACAGACACGCCAAAAACAATACCTCCATTTTTAATGGAGGTAACAAACTGTGACGTGTAATATAATGGGTCCATTTCACCAGATAGTCGATCTGTTGTATGAGAGCAGAATCGCAGTGATCTGCCAGGGGAGACACCGCTGCGCTCAACTTCCGGGTTCTAGAACGACGTTCTATTCAAAACGTTACCCCTGTGACGTAAGCAGTTCTTCTTTCAGTAAAATGTAAACTGGTCTATTAAAATCCTGTAAAGGAAATGTAGATCTGTACCTGATGACGTTGATGCCGAAGTACAGAGTGATGATGTAGAACCAGTCGTTGTCCTCTATCATGTGGATGGACTTCTCCATGATCATCACTCCTACCAGGATGAAGATGACGGTGTTCGCTAGGTAAGCCATCATCTCCCAAAACCTTTCAGGGGAGAATAACAACATATAACGTTACTCTTACTATCATGAAAGTTCATCTGTGCTGGTAGTAACATATTTAGAGTTAAAACGTTAGATCCAACACAAAAATTCTCTCACCTAGAGCTTTCGACCAGTCACTCTGGTCTTCCTCAGTAGACTGACCCAGTGAGACTTGTCACGTGGCTTCTTTGAAGTGTGACGTCAACATTGGGTCAAAGGTATCTGGGAGACGAACTAAACCGTGACGGGGGCCGACATACCCACAAACGTAAATGATTTGAAGTTATGCTTGGAAAAATGAAGTGAAGAGAGTACCTGTGTAGAAAAGACTCCACCTCCGGACTGATGCTGGTCCTCTCCATAGTCAGCCCCAGGATAACCACAGCAAGTACACCTGACACACCTAACACCTGCACAGGTGAACACATGTGCAGGTGAAGCACGGTTGGAAGGCATATACAGGTGATTCCAATAACATAGCTTCGCGGTATATTTATATACACATGTAGATAATGTCGAGGTTGCATTTGGCCCTGTTCATTTGAAGTCAGTGAAGGCGCTTTACATGTGGTTTCCCCCGAAGCCGGTTTTAAGTGGCCCCATCTGAACGCTCCAAATCACATTGAAAGCGCCTCGATCCCAAACCACTTCTAGAGGTGATTTCGAATCGGTTTTCCCGCATCGCGATTTGCGTCTGAACGCAATGTGATTTCAATGTAACTTCGCCTGGTCATGGATTACGGGGTGATATTTCTTTATTTATATACAATACAAAATTTTACGTGGCAGCAACTTCAAGAGCAGTAATGGTCAAATAATGTGTCCGTTCTAGGGCGAGCTTCACCGCCTCTGGCGGGACTACTGACGTTGACCTCTGACGCTACCTTGCGTGTTTTCATCAAAAAACAATGAATGCAGTTTCGGAGAATCGTGATCGGGCACAATTTGAAAGGAATGTATGGCACGTGGACCAGATGTGAGGAATGCGAGTTACCCTAATTATGGTTCGGATGGTTTCATATGAACAAGGCCTTTGTTACATGTATATGAATAAAATAGATGGAAGGCACGCAGCGAAAGTTTTACATAAACCACGTCCTCTGCATGTTCATTAGGTGATCCGTATCGTATACGTACGGTCGTTGCAATTTGAAACGGTCGTTGCCATATCACAGAACGGCAAACTTTAAGTAATGTAACGGAATTTGTTACATTTCAATTCAAGCTATAGATAATCCAACTTTAATAGACCCATTCGACTTTCACGGATCGCATAAACTGCTTGCGTCACAGGGAGGACATTTCGAAAGAACGTCGTTCTAGAACGCTGAAGTCGAACGCGGCTTGCGCTCGCGGTGTCCCCCCTGGCAGATCATTTTTTTTACTAAAAGGTAGGTAAGTGTCTATTTTCTCGGTAATATATGCGGAAATGACAGGAAAACAGGAACCAACTTTGTATGGTAGCATTCTGTACAACAATTTGAGGTTATTCTGTGACGTATGCGGTTTATGCGATCCGTTAAAGGAACTTTCGAAATGTCCACCCTGTGACGTAGTTTCTATTCGAAATGGTCCCCTGTGACGTAAGCAGTTTATGCGATCCGTGAAAGTCGAATGGGTCTATTGTAGAAGATAATAACCCTTACTGTGTACAAATAGGTAAATATATCAAAGAATGTTTAGATCCCACCTCTGCCACGTAGAACGTGATGTACGTCGACGCCAGGGTGATGGTGATCTCCGTCAGCGCGTCGTTGAAGATGTTGGCCAGCCAGAACGACGTCAACTTGGACATGAAAAACCCGAAGGCCGGTCCGCCGATCATGACTTTGACAATGAAGATGACAAAGTCCGCGGCTGTGGGCAGGAAAGGAAAGGGAAAACTTTTTTAAACGGCCGAAAATTTATGCGCGCGCGGATGTCATCCATATAATCAAATCAACATGGCCTTTACGTGTTACGAACATACACATTCAATGGCAATGGCTACTTTTTCATTTGGGGCAATTTGTTTTGTTTATTTTCTTGACAAGATTTTGAATACTACTTATTCAAATAAAACTCGAGTTTTCTGAATCGCCCACCACAATTAAGCTGGTGTGTTACGCCGAAAGGCGGTTATATCGGCTATACAGATACAGATATATATTAACCATATCTCAGTAACATACTAGCACACATGTACAGTACGCACCTGACCACTGCACCCCTATAGCCAGGTTGAGAAACATGGTGAAGATGACGATCCCGCAGCCGTCGTTCAGCAGAGACTCGCCTTCTATCACGGTCCCCAGCTGCTTGGAAGCGCCTGCAATACGGACAAATCGTTGGGCACATATTAATATTTATTATTACTATATAATATAAAGTGCCGAGACAGCTACAGCAAACGGGAGAGTCGTACCTACAGTGCCACCATTGCTACAAAAAAACGGGAGAGCCGTGTATACTTACGTATTACACCTAGTTCCCTAAACAGTGCTATAACAGCTACAACAAACAGGACAGTTGTACCTTGTTCCTTTAGCAGTGCCACCGCAGCTACAGCACACAGGAGAGTTGTACCTACCTACATGTAGTTCCTTCAGCAGTGCCACAACAGCTACAACACACAGGGGAGTTGCAATTGTACCGAACCTACCTAGTTCCTTCAGCAGTGCCATAACAGCTACAACACACAGGAACGCTGTACCTACCTAGTTCATTCAGCAGTGCCACCACAGCTACAGCAAACGGGAGAGTTGTACCTACCTAGTTCCTTCAGCAGTGCCACCACAGCTACAACAAACAGGAGAGTTGTACCAACATGTACCTAGTTTTTTTTCAGCAGTGCCACCACAGCTACAACAAACAGGAGAGTTGTACCTACCTAGTTCCTTCAGCAGTGCCACCACAGCTACAACAAACATGAGAGTTGTACCTGCCTAGTTCCTTCAGCAGTGCCACCACAGCTACAACACACATGAGAGTTGTACCTGCCTAGTTCCTTCAGCAGTGCCACCACTGATACAACAAACGGGAGAGTTGTACCTAACTAGTTCCTTCAGCAGTGCCACCACAGCTACAACAAACATGAGAGTTGTACCAACATGTACCTAGTTTTTTTTTCAGCAGTGCCACCACAGCTACAACAAACAGGAGAGTTGTACCTACCTAGTTCCTTCAGCAGTGCCACCACTGATACAACAAACGGGAGAGTTGTACCTAACTAGTTCCTTCAGCAGTGCCACCACAGCTACAACGGAGCTGCACCTACACATATAGTTCCTTCCACAGCGTCAACCTAGCTACAACAAACAGGAGAGTTGTACCTACATGTACCTTAGCTAGTTCATTCAGCAGTGTCACCACAGCTACAACAAATGGGAGAGTTGTCTACCTAGTTCCTTCAGCAGTGCCACCACAGCTACAGGGTCCGTGGCGCTGCAGATAGATCCAAACATCATCCCCACGTACCAGTTCCAGCCGTAGTCAAACGTGTACATGGACAGGATTCCGGTCAGGAGCGAGGCTAACAGTAAGCCCGGCAGGGCCATGATCAGGATCTGAAAACCATGGTTTCATCCGTAAGTAGAGCATATTTGGTAGCTGGTGGCGTCGAGGGGTTAAGTAAACGGACGCATGAGGTTGTGGGTTCGATTCCTGGCCGGACGTGGTGTCCTTGGAACTTTCCTCACTTCATACGGCAGGTGCCTGATTTTGATGGGGGGGGGGGGGGGGTGGTTAAGGGGATGGAACGAGAGGGAAGGGATCCGCCTTTCAATACAGTGCCCTAGACAGAGTACTGACAAACCACTACCCCTTCGGCCTCAAAAGTGCCATATTAGACATTTAACTTTACCAGATTGTGGTTCGGTATCAGTGGAAATGGGGTTTTTCTCCCTTTAATATAGAAAATATAGAAACTTTATTGCATGTTCATTTCCCGGGGGGATAAATGCATGGATGTACAAAGTACAATGTACTAGAGAGTACTGCAACAATAGTAATAAAGAAAGGCTAACATCAAGTCTAAGGTATACAATGCTAAAACAGAAATATATATATAAAGTGGTATCGATCTAAGTTCTAATGGCTTCTTCTCTCTTTTTGAAACATTTTGAAATATACTTACATACTTCATTGATGACGTCTATATTTGTACATGACATGGTGTATTTAAAAGTGTCTTCCTTTGATAATGTCTATTAAAATAGAATACAATACAATAAAGGTATCTCATATTACGTAAATTGTTTCTCAGTGACAGGAACCGCACAACTGACCTGGTATATAGACTTCCAGAACATGTGCGTGTCCATGGCGAAGGCCGACTCGAAGATGAGGACAGGCAGGAAGACGTGGAAGAGCATGTGCGGGTTCATGTGGACGATAGCGGTGTAGTGCGCGAACCCCGGTGAGCGGGAGGACGCTAGACCCAGCAGGATCCCCAGTACCAGCAGCACCACCGTGTACGGCAAGTCTCCCGGCACGATCTTCAACAGCGTACGGACCAGGGCTGAAAAATTTGAGCGCGTTTGTACAATGGACCTATACCAGCATTACGTCATAGTTTGTTTACCTGTTCTTAACCCTTGTCCTGCTGGCATTCCTGGCACAATATTTTTCAATAATTTCATGTCTTAATTAGATCATAGACCAGCAAATTTTTTTGCCCTGCTGTGGCATAGTTACTTCCGCATTTGTTGCGTTTCGCTGCGGTGTGATGCGTTGCACGAGAAATTCCCCCAAATCGTACCTATACAGGGTGTTGTATAGGTTTTACTTTATGTGCCGCGCGACATATGTTGCGCACAGCAGGACAACATTCTAGAACGGTCAGTTCAAGAATCAACATCATTTCAAAGTTTTCAAAGTAAGGTATGTCTGATTTTTTTGCTACATCTAGTTGCGTTGACACAGCATTACATGCCGCATGGGTGATTTAGTTGTGACATTAGACGAAAGTAGTACTGTATTAAAAGCCTTATATTAGGCTAACGCTACACAAACACACACACATGCCACCGATCTTGTGCCCTTGGGAAAGGTACTTTACACGACTTTCCTCACTTCGCTCAGGTAAAATGAGTATTGTACTGTCCCTGTGTTGGTGGCGGCATTAATGTAAGTTGAAAAAACTTGAGTGTACCGTCACCACGTCTTGTGATTACATGTTTCGGAATATATTTAAAAAAAAATAACACACACCGAGCTACGCACCCCTGTACAATATAAACGTCGATTGACCGGCATTCATTGTGGTAAACAAACTGTGACGTAATAATGGTATAGGTCCATTATAGATAAAATATAGACAAGGTCTTGCACGGAGGCTAAGGCCACAGCAAGTAAATTTTATGCATGACATCCTCCGTAGACTCCAAATCTAATAAGATAGGGCGAAAAAAGTGCCATAAAACAAGATCCCTACATTTTCAAATGTTTACATAATCATAAACCACAACGAATGATACCTATTTCGTGCTTATTTTAATACCAAATATTACGAGTACAACATCCATGTATCACTGAAATAACTTGACAAATGATCCCATTTTTTCTGTATTGTGTGGTTTTGGGATGGTAAAAAATAAAGAGAAGATTAGTTTTCTTTTTGACTGTAAGCGTGGAGAAATAAGGATGGGATCTGTTGGTCTATTCTAACGGTAGGGTTTCCAGTCAAAAAATATGTATCTAAAGGGATTTTAACATTAGTAATTTCAGATAGAGGATTATGAAGCATGAAAAAAGGAAGTTACAGAACGAAAGTCGGACCTTTCGTTCCCGAGATATGGACCTTCAAAGTTGCTAGGTAGTGTGAACAGGTGTGCCACCAGGTGTGAAAAATGCATTTGTAATCAGTGATAATTAAAAAATCAAAAAGACTGCACCTTTTAAATCTATCCCAGCATTAAGGTGTCCTCTCGTAATGTCTTTCCCTCTTTCTTCTCTTAAAGCTGCTGCAATAGCCAAATGATTAGAGACTAGTATTCACCTTGCATGGTGCGTACCCCCAAACACGGGATCCCCCAACCGAAACTAGCTAAATATAGTTTTGAAATTCTGTCACTTACCTCCTAAGGCGAAAGAAGCGAAGAGAAAGAGAATGACGTATGGTTGTTCGTGATGTCCGCTGTGGATGTGTGGATCATCAGATCCGTGGCCGCCGCTGCCGTGGTCACCACTTTCCGTGATGTTGGTAGAGTTGGTGCTGTTTGTGCCATTCAACCCGCCACTCAACGCTTCAAACAACGGGAATTCCATCGTAAATCGCTTTAAAAACTATCCCTACCGTAAGCCAACACGCATTTTGCTTCGCCAAACGATAGGTAAAGCAACAACAATGACACAAAGTTTGGATAGCAACACTCCCGGTTTGAACGCGCGGAGAACGGCCGTTCTACGAACGACGCAGTTGGTTCGGTGTTCGAAGAAACGTCGTGTTACGTCACTACCGGACGTGACGTTCGACGTTCGATTGTTCGTGCACGCGTAGAACACGTGATTCTTGGTTGTCAATGAAAACAAAAACACTTCACAACACAAACACGAAGTCGTCGGTACAGGTGTGGTAAATCCCCGCTGCGTCCTCTGCCTATGAAATGGCCATGTTTGGAGGCGTAAATGGCGAATCGCGACGACTTTGAGGAGTCGACTCGGCACGAGAGCGAAGTTTCTACAATTCTCCGCGAGGACAACCTTCTTTTCACCGGGCGAGAGTGGACCCCACTTTCTGCACTCCTGCGAATCCAGATCGAGAGGATACGGAGACAAGACTTCACTGTGAACGGTGAAGATACAGAGGACAGTTCCGTACAACTTACACCCGTCAATTCCACAAAAGAAGAAACTGTTACAGTTTCTTCAGATACACCCGTCACTTCCACAAAGAAAGAAACTGTTACAACAGTCTCTTCGGACCAAACGACTCTTGTGGACGAGGTGTTGTCAGGCCTGAAGCAACAGTTGACAGGACTGGTCATGGAGTTTGAAGAGGTTGTAGGGAAGTTCAGGGAACGCCAGAGGGCACTTTACGCACAGATGAGGCAAGAGCGAGAGCAGAGAAGGGTGAAGGAGGACGAACTGACGGCACAGCTCACGGACCTGGACCGCAATATCGTGGTAAGTCTGAGGAATTGTTACATCTGTAAGATACTTCAGGTTTGTAGTATTGTTGTCTTACTGCCACACATTGTAAAATGTACGATTCTCGAGCAATGAAGTCGATTCCTTCATTCATATGTTCTTCTTTCTGACTGCTTGCTGACTATCTTTAGACGTGAAACGTAATGTGCCTTCTTTTGAAATTGTTGTTGGGATAAACACGTACAGGCATTTAATGATAGCGCGGGGCTGTTTATCTCTCAAAATGGCGGATATTACCCGTCATGCATTTCGCGCCGGTAATTGCGAAAATGCTTATTTGACTCCTTACGTTCTAATAGTTTTGGTTTTGCCTTCCACCCTGAATGGATTGTACATTCTCGACTATCGATGACGATTCAAACTTTTTAATAACTAGTATCGTGATAGTTTGATAGATGTCATTTCGATCTTACCGTATTACTGACACGTACGAAGTTAGGCAGTCCAGCTGGCAGCATGGGGATAGCTATGCAAGACTGGTCTGCCAATGCTATGTGTACTAGAGTATTCGAGTAGACTCGATTTTGATATCAGTTAGCAGTGTTGCCATGGCACAAGGTCGGATTTATTACTGTTTCGATATACCGGGTGGCGTCGGTAGCATAACGCTTTGAGCGTTGGACTCGGAACCAAAAGATCCCGAGTTCGATACTCACCAATGGTGAGTCACCATGCTTTGAACCACTTCCCTGACTGTGGAATTGCGTTCACCGAGCATCTTATAGATATATAGGCTAATCTGACTAAATGTGTACCAAAAACACACTAAAGATTTTTTTTTATCCCAACATTTCATGACTAGACATGGTGATCATGACGACACACTCAAGTTTATTAATAACCCCCCTTATTTTATGCCGCAACTAACGCAGAGGACGAATACAGGACAGGACAATACTCATTTTCACCTGACTGAAGTGAGGAAAGTCGTATAAAGTGCCTTTAGCTTTCCCAAGGGCACAAGATAGGTGGCATGTCAGGACTCGAAGCCGGGACCTCTTGGTTAAAAGTCGAGCATTCTGCCGTTTCGCCACACGACCCCACTTTCGTCAGCCAATGTGCCAACATTAGCACATTTGCCACCAAGAGCCGTATTTATTTCTTCGTTATGCCGGGCAGGTTCTGAAGGAAGCCCTGCTGCCGACCCTGAGTCAGGGGGACGCCTCCACCATCACGCACCTGCAGGACCAGGTAGCCGGGGCACAGCAGTCAGCACGGCGCCTCGTCAACACGGCAGAACAGGTGGGGTGGTGATATCGGGGTTTTCTTTTACACAACTAGGGCTTCTTTTTCGATACGTTTCGATGTCTATATAGCTATCAGACCCCCTCGAAAAATCACAGAGCTTCTGAGACTGGAGTACTGCTAATCGCTGTTTTATGTAGTCGATGTAGGTAGCGCTTTAATTTTACGGCGAGAAACACCAGTTTGAATTCTTCCTAGCTTTTCACTGGGGCTCACTTTCTTATGATGAACTGGCACAAGGAGGATTGGTAAGAACGTAGCCACGTTTGCGATTGTTTTTTGCCGCAAAATCGCCCCCTAATTCAGCTACAGATAGCCATTGTCACATTAGTACTGGTTAAGCTTGACTACCAAGACTGGTTAAGCTACATAATGCTACACAGTTTACTTTTGATCGATATGTTTGTACGTTTTGAATGTGCAGAGTTTTGATGATTTCTTTCCAGGCTGCGGACGCAGGGCTAGAGTTGTCGGAAGGCGCCACCTTGCGAGAAGGAATAGTAGTGCTCCACAACTCCGTTCAGAAGCTCGGACAGGCGCTGAGCGAGTTTGGGTAGGGACTGATTGAAACATTTTTGCTTTTAAATAAAGATACAAACTGGATACCGAAAACTGGAATCGATTGTGATCGTTTTATTTGTCTTCCAGGTCTGTCCTAACCAGTACAGGGCATGGGGTTGTCAGCCGCCCCGTAGACAGGCTCCCGCCAAAACAGTCACCGGTTGCAAAACTGCTGGCTTCCGATCTGACAGACAAGAGCAGCGAATTCGAAGAAGAGCCGACGATAACCCTCCCCCGAGCCCGCTCGCCTCTCCCATCCAAGGGGGAGACGTGGAAAGTCATTCGGGACGAGGAAGACTACATCCCGCCGGTGCACGGCCCGTCCATCGGTTCCCTCGGCACCCTGCAGGACTCGGGCTACCACGCTCGTACAGCAGAGACCGACTCGGAGGTGTCCCGTCAGCAGAAGTCGTACCCGTACGAGTCCGCCCTCAACAGGTTCTGGGCCAAGAGACAACAAGAGGATGACACCGAGACCAGCTTGGAACGAGATAGCACTCCCAGTGGTATGGAGAGCGCCAGTAAAAGCAGTCGCCGCCGATCCCTTGTGGACGTCGAGGCCTGGCTGTCCACACAGGACGACCAAAGCTTTGAGATCACCTCATCGGTTGTTACTCCCTCTAGCGTCAGTTCGCGGTATGGCACCCCCACAGTCTCCACCACCCTGGGCACGCTGTCCGACAGAAGTGCGTCGACGTATGCCAGTGGTCGTAGCGACGTGACGGGCGGTTTTACACCTCGCAGTAGGAAAGGTCAGGGGCCCCGCACTGAAAGCCCTCTCGTTGCTTCAGACCGTGACAAACTCACACCCTCTAGCGTCAAAGAACTGCATTACACCCACGTGCAACCTGTCGCAACTGCGAGCGTCAGTGAGCCTGGCGAAAAAGAAAAGCCAGCAACTGCTTCTTCAAGCCCCGCCAGGCAAGATGTTTCAGCGTCCAGGCAGCCAACAGAGAAGCCCGTAGTCAAGAGAAATTCCATGGTCGGCCTGTTCCCCTGCACATCTTTAACACCGCCAGAAGACCGGGTGCAAGAAAGGGTTCGCGACAGCCATCGCGTCATCCCCTTCTCGGCGTTCATGTCGACGGATAAGGCAGCCGCGCCCTCTGGCGGCCGTGTATTCCCTGCAACTCATCACACGACAGGGAGCAGGAGGAAAGGTCTCGAGTTTGGCAGGAGAGTTGTACCCCCACCACTCCAGGGTAAAGCCAGTTTTCCCTTTGTACCAGGCGCTGGTGCCAACTGGCTTACACAGCATGGAAGGCTTGTCGGAAGAATAAGCTCCTACTTACAAGTCGCAAGGCCCGTGGTGAAGAGGTCAGTTACGACATTTGATAGTTACCACATCTTTTACTGACTCTGTTTCTTCTGTGACCTCTATATGAAAAATGGGGGGGTAACTTTTAGTCTGTCTGTCTCAGACACACGCATACACAAGCACACAAACGCGCACACAAGCACACACACACACACACACACTCGCACACACACACACACTAACACACACAGTTACCCTTGCGCGATGCACTGTTTGGTGTTACAAAAAAAGATTAAAAAAAGAAAACAATCTTTGCATTATAATGACTGCATCTGTCAGCAAATCAGTATTGCTTTTCTATTTACAATGCCAGTATTGCATGTACATGTATATCGTATATACATTGTATTTTTTAAATGTAATAATAGTACGTTATAGTTTTACAATTGAACTTGAATTAATTTCATCTTCCCCAGAGCGCTGGTGAAGTCAACCACCGCGTTGTTGTTTGGTCTCCTACTGGTGTTCTTGGTCCCGCTGTTCTTACCTCGGGAGGTCAACCTGGAGCTGAAATCAGCGCTGTCCAGCTATGCGGCCAGTAGTCACGTGTTCAAAGTCAAGAACTTCGGTTTGCCACCCACCTAGCACCACCTGAACTTCGTTACGATGCCTATACATGCCCAATCTGCCAGTCCTCTTCTTATTTCTAAGTGTATGAGAGTAGATGTACTTCTTTGCGGATACTGTTGATTTGTTTGTATTTTCTTTTGTTATTTCGCATTGTATTGAAAGATTGCCTGGCTACTTTCAACTGCTGCCAGTTTTCAAACGTGAAATATTGTCTGATAGTTAAACCTTTGCCAATGAGATTTTTATTTGTTGTCGTGCGTGCACCACCTGTGCAATCTGGAGAAAATTAGCACAAATACTAAACTTACGATATTTGTACTTGTCCATTTATATATGTATATATTCAAACATGGTATTCGGTCAATAAAATTAAAAGAATATCGGCGATATCATTTGCGTTATGCAGTTATGCATGTGTGTGTGTGGGTGTGTGTCTTTGTGTGTGTGTCTTTGTGCTTGTGTATTTATTGTATAATTGTAATTAAGTATAATGATGAGAATCCTTCATACAGGTGTCTTTCCATAATGTTTTTTTTATTCCAAGCAGCAACAAAGTTTTGGAATTCCTAACCCACTAATACCGTCTACGTAATAATGTCTAATAACCTTTATGCGATTATCATATTGCTGTACATACGTTTGCTCTTCGACAAGATTAGAAGACATTTCATGAGTGGTCTTAAATATATAACAGAATACCTATTTGATCATCATAAGCATTAATATTCGAGAAATATTTCAAACTATTCTTGTAGTACCGGTTGAAATTGTAGATTGCCGTTTTAGGTATTTAGAGTCGGCTCTTGCTAGGTCAAGTCAAGGCACCTTGTGCTCTCTGACGTAACAGATGATTTCAACGTGGTTCCTTATTCTCTCCTAGGCTTCAGAAGCGACTAGAATAAGTAGAAATTGACCAAATAGCCAGATAACATGCCACAGGGGCGGAAAATACTTATTTAGCAGGCCAAGTCACCTGGCATGTTATCTGGTCAATTTCCACTCTTTCCAGCCGCTTTCAAACCCTGGCACAGGTTATTGTTTTTTTATGTTATTGTGTATATATGGGCTCTGCATTTTTACCGACGAGGAAATACATCCACCTCAAACGTACTTATACGTTAAACATTACATGCATATACAGGTAATAATACGTCCAGTTCTATCTGTGGATTTCGATTAACAATTCCCCATCCTTCAGGAAAATATAGAAAAACACTAAAAAGCTATTTGAGAATATTGATTAGTAGGCATATGGCCACTGATATAAAATACTACTGTAGACACTTAAAATATATAAGTGTGGGCTTAAGACTTATCTAACTAGAATGGTAACATTTGTCAAGCAAATGTACAATGTTTACCTTCGCATATGGTCTGTTCTGTTAATTTTTACTCAAACACATTCACATGGTCAGACAAGAGTCTAAATCCCTCCTGCTACAAAATTGCAACATGATGTAACCCAACACCAGTTACCATGGTGATAGATGGTTGGTAAACATAAATATCAGCCCAATCAGTTACCATGCTGGCCTCAGTTTACATCCGGTAGATGCAAATGTCTAGAAGTACGGCTGGCTCACGTAGTAGGAGGCACTGTCGCGTGGGTCACGTGATAATGTCATGACGCGTGGGTCACGTGATACCGTCATGACGCGTGGGTCACGTGATAACGTCATGTCACGTGGGTCTCGCGGTGCCCGCCCAGACATCTGCATCTCCCGGATGTAGGGAACGTCGTCGTAGATCGCCGGCGTCGACATCATGGGAGCCGATCCTCGCGGCTTCTCCGCTGCAGATTATAAGGAGTGGGTCAAAGTCAGAAGATAAAGAGCGAGAGAGAGACAGAGAATGAGAATGAGAGAGAGGGAGGGAGACAGAGAGAAAGAAAGGGAAAGAGAGACGGTGGACCTCTGACCTCTCCTATTGATTTTGAACTTAATTTATTATTCTGTAATCATCATTATGTACAAGTTTTGTTATTTATGTTTCATTTTATTGACCCCAGGAAGAATAGTGCTTTTAAGCGCTAATGGGGATCGAAATAAACAAACAAACAAGCAAACAAACAAACACTCCCGCCGGGCTGCCAGTTGAGCTGGGCGGGCGGAAACTAATAGAGCCTCCGAAGAGAGCTTAGCACCACTGACTGGGCACCAGGCTAGACCCAGCATTGTTCCTTTTTTTTGTAGTTCGAAAATGCCTGACTAATTATTTTTATCCGCTATCAAAAAAAAGAAGATAAACTAGAGAAGTAACATTTGCAAAGCAAATGCATAATGTTTACCTTCGGACATGGTCTGCTCTGTTATTTCTTACTCAAACACTTTCACATACTTGACTGTACTACTAGTATATATGGTGACAGGAGCAAAGCAGACCGTGAAATTGCAACATTATCTAACCCAACACCAGTCACCATGGTGACAGACGTCAACAAATCATGTCATTGGCCAGGTCATAGGTCACTGTTTGGAAAAGAAGGAGAAGAAGAGGATGAAACTGAGTAAAAATAATATGTTTTTCTTCGGTAAACATAACAATCTTTTATTGGTCCTTTTAATTGCAGGTTAGTGTTTGGAACAGAAGAGGAAGAGGAGGAGGAAGCAACTTAGCAAAACCAGTATGTTTTCCTTCGGTAAACATAAATGGAGGAAACTCACGAACTGCTAGCTTGCTGGCAGGTACGGCGGCTGAGATGAAGCCGTCGTTGTTCACGCCGGCGTACTTCCTGTCCAAAGTCCCCTGCTGGCGCCAGCCGTTGTTGTACCCGTCCTGGGGATAGGCCGGCTCATCGTGTTTGGGCACATCTAACCCTGTGGTGTGGGGCATAATTAGAAAAGAAATGATTTTAAAAACTAAAGATGTAACCTTTGCAAAGCAACTGCATACTGAAAGGTAAAATCCATAATGTTTACCCTGGTCTAGCCTGACACACCACTGCTCTGTTTGTTTTTATATTTTTACTCAATCATATTCATTATATAATTTGTGGTGAGCTGCCACCCCAGTTGTTCTGCTATAAATGTAACCCAAAACTAATCTCCAAGCAGATCCCTTTCGGAGGTAAAAAGACCAGGCAATATCCATTGGCCAGCCAGTATCCATTAGCCACTGACGGGTGGGGGTACGGACAAAAAAAGGGGGCATATATAAAAAGCTAACGATCATTCCCCACAACCTCTGCCTGGAGAGTAGCCGGGGGCCAAGTTAGGACTAACTGGTTGGGTGGTAGGATCGAACCCGTCACCTACATATATCTCGTATACGATAGCCTAGCCACTCATCAAGAATGTGCACAAATTATATTTAATTGTTATCATCTCTTGAACGTTTTGCGTTTCGTTGTCTTTTATATCATACTTTTTTCTTCCCGGAAACGGGCCTCGGCTTGGTTATGTGACCCTAGCATAACATCGTGCATTCCGACTCGATGTAAATCATATCGCCAATATGCCTGTTTATAGATTTTATATCCAAGAGTACAGTTACGTGTGTGCATCTGGATTTGCAGGCATAAGACACATTTTCATGCCACAGTGATAATGACCTATATCACAACGTTGCGGACATAGAGTGACGGGTTTTGAGTCAGGAAATTGCCAATCATTGAATTCGCCTCATCGAAGTGAATCGTCTGAAAGGAACGTAACTGTTGATAGTCCATAATGACCCCAAACCAACAAATATACGATTATAATTATTAGAAGCCTTAGAACACTTCAATAAAAAAAAGATTTTTTTTTCTATTCAACATTTGCTACAAGACATGGCGACGGCACTCTCAAGTTGTTGTTTTTTTCAACTTATTTTTATGCCACCAGCAATGCGGACAAACGCATGAACGAGCAACAGACATACTCCTTTTCACCTCAGCGAAGTGAGAAAATTCAAGTTAAGTGCCTTTCCCAATTGCAAGGGCAAAAGATCGGTAGCATAGAAGGATTCGAACTCGAGACCTCTTGGTTCCACGCTCTGTCGTTACGCTACACGACCTCAAAACCCTTTGAATCTGTGATAAAAAGATCATTTATCCCCCAACAAAGTAGTTTTCCTCTAACCTTGCATCTCCACCTCTCCGTCCACACGTAGAGCCCCGAAACACTTCATGATCCCGAAGATGACGACAGCGGTGACCACGCCCCAGCCGAAGATGGCCACGGCCCCGGCAAGGTTCCAACCGAACAGCTGTGAGAGACCACGGGTTCAAAATGAGACCAACAGAACTAGAAACTAAGCATGAAAGTTCATCTTGTTCGGTCATCGGTTAACCTTAATAATATGTCAGATAATGCTAAACTGTACCTTATTCTTAGAGGCTCCACATTGTTACCCTCTATGTACAACTTTAAAACGAAAAAGAATTTTTTTTCAAATAACTTTGTTAACATGACCATTTTTAATGTCTTGGGGTGGTGGGATTACGGCGCACAGATATGTCAACTTTGTGTATTTAAATGTTAATTGTATTTTGTTGTGTGGCGCTGTTAATATAAGTTATAAACTTGAGTGCAGCGCTACACTGTCCTTGTTATGTATTGATGAATAAAAAAAGTTTATGTGCGTTGGTAAATTACATAATAAGAATTAAACTGTTCTCCAACTCAAGAAAATAGACTCACTGGAATTTTCCTGAGTTGGAGACCAGTTTAATTCTCATTATAGACAGAATAAGATAATTACAATAACTTGAATTGTTGGAGAAAACAATTACATGTGACAATAGAATAGGGAAAAAGTTACACGAGTAAGCTCATGATTAAACAGGTCATGGCAGATTTGGATTCGTTTTCGAATTTAGGTTATGCTTAATCTTTTTTTAATGACAGCGGTGATGTATTTTGCTGACTTCCAGGCATTTTACTAAACTTAATTAAGAATAGAACGTCTTGATCTTTCAGCAGCCTGCATATTTATGCTTTGAATAAAGGAGAGCATTGTCGCATTCACTCATTGTCCTAAGAATGATATATTTATTGTTTATTTTAGGCGCGATGACCCATATTGACAAACACGTACACAAACACATCTAAAGAATATTACAAAGCACTAGTATGTACAGTTGAAAAAAAGATCAGGATTTACACTGTAAGAATACGTTTTTCTTTCTTAAGAAAAATACGCATGTATCTAATTCATAGATGTCTCCCGTAGAATTGAGTTTTATTGTCTTTGGTATGACCCTTTGATAGAATTCTTTAGATGTTCTTCTTTTGTTGCTATGATCTCACCTTGAGGTTCATGGTGCTGACCTCCTGGATGATACCATTCCGTGACAGAATGGGGGCCGCAACAAGGCCCCAGAAACCGCCACCAAGATGCACTGGAGTTATTGGAGCGGACGGACGGACGGACGGATAGATGGATGGATGGACGGATAGATGGATGGATGGACGGACGGACGGACGGATGGATAGATGGATGGATGGATGGATTGATGGATGGACGGATGGATGGATAGGTGGATGGTTGGATAGATACAAAATGGTTAGCTCATGTAATATGGAATCTGAATTACAATGTTCGCAAATGTTGAAAAACATTTCTCTTTATCAGTTAGTGTTAACGTTGGTGTATAAATCGTCAGTATCTTGTGCATGCAGACACATTGCAAAACATGGTGTTGACAGATGGCATAACTTATAAAGGACCTTACCCACTACACTGAACTTTACGCAAATAGGTTAGTCACGAGCCATTCTTTAAACTTAATTAAGTCCTTAATCAGGCCAAATATGCTAATAGAAATGGTTATTGTGAACACAGAATGGTCATTATGTGCTGGTTGCATAACATTTTGGCTAGTGGCAGTATATCATCCTGTTGTCTTGTCCGCTTCTTCTTTTATTCTTTATATGGAACAGCAGTTACCTAAGACTGGTAAATGGTCTATCCGATCGTGGTTGAGGCAGGCTGTCTTCGGGGCTCTAATAATTTTTCCCCGTCCAGCATAACAGACCGCCCGGTAGGGGTTAAGCCTGTAGAAGTTTTGCACGCCATGAGTTGATTAGCCCCACGTCGTGCAAAACCTACCGGGAAACCTAGCTGAGTCGGGCGGGGAAGAGCTCCTGCAGCCCCGAAGAGAACCCGCTCCACCCACGATAGACTGGACACCTAAGGCTAATGTTACCTGCTATAGTGTCCACGGGGTCGTCTATCCTGAGCGCCTGCAGCAGCCGGCTCCAGACACAGTACGTCAGCCCGGCAACCGTCCCAATCACCAGGGCACCCCAGGTGTACACTACGTCACATCCCGCAGCGACGGACACCTGTCAATCAAACAAACACAGACGTCAGTCTCACAACCGTCCCGATCACTCCAGGTGTACACTACGTCACACCCTGCAGCGACGGACACCTGTCAATCAATCAATCAAACACAGACAGACGTCAGTCCTACAACCGTCCCGATCACTCCAGGTGTACACTACGTCACACCCAGCAGCGACGGACACCTGTCAATCAAACAAACACAGACGTCAGTCTCACAACCGTCCCGATCACTCCAGGTGTACACTACGTCACACCCAGCAGCGATGGACACCTGTCAATCAATCAAACAAACACAGACAGACGTCAGTCCTACAACCGTCCCGATCACTCCAGGTGTACACTACGTCACACCCCGCAGCGATGGACACCTGTCAATCAATCAATCAAACAAACACAGACAGACGTCAGTCCTACAACCGTCCCGATCACTCCAGGTGTACACTACGTCACTTCCCGCAGCGATGGACACCTGTCAATCAAACAAACACGTAGCATAAGACCCTGTCTATACGGAACCACCCAAGGCGGTTTACATGTGGTTTACCCCGAAGCCGGTTTCAAGTGGCTCCGTCTGAACGGTCCGAAATCACATTGAAAGCGCCTTCGTCTGGAGCCACTTCTAGAGGTGGTTTCGAATCGGTTTTCCCGCATCGCGATTTGCGTCTGAACGCAATGTGATTTCAATGTGACTTCGCCTGGTCATGGATTACGGAGTGATATTTCTTTTTTTATATGCAATACCAACTTTTACGTGGCAGCAACTTACAGAGCAGTAATGGTCAAATAATGTGTCCGTTCTAGGGCGAGCTTCACCGCCTCTGGCGGGACCACGTCGGCATTCGGCCGAGATAGGCTGGGAGGGGGGCATCGGCAATCATGTCGTTGACATCTGACATTAATAACACGCCGCCTTGCGTGTTATCATCAAACAGCAATAAATGTAGCGCAAGAGCATTATGTTCGGACACGGTTTCACAGGTGTGTGTGGCACGTGGACCAGATGTGAGGAATGTGAGTTACCCGAATCGCGCCTTGGGTGGTTCCGTATAGACACGGCCTAAGAGACTGCGAAAGTGACTGTGCCATATGGGTTTTATGGATATCCGATGACAAATTACATTAATTAACTCCGTTTCCGCCTCTTTGATACGGTATTTCGGTTTTGATACCGTAAACTTACAAAAATATTGGGAGATACAAGTAGCTGGCTCTCTTTCCTGTTTGCCTAGTCCTGGGCTTAAAGGAAACTTAAAGATAACTGTGGCGGTAAGGCCTCTGTCTTTGTACGTGCGAAGTATTCTAAGTGCGAAGAAACACCTTGCCTATCTTCTTGCCGATAAAATGCATTTACATCCAAGTTCTTTGTGTGATAGCCATTGGAAATTTGCATTTGTAAACCGTTAGACTCTTAGTTCAGTAAATAGTTCTGAAAGAGTAGTAGCAACATCTACTAGCTAGTCCGGTATCCAAACCTATCATGGCTTCGGAAACCCTTTAGTCCTGATTATATGTCATGCGAAGAGGGTGAAGAAACTCTGCACTGAGCAATGATAGGTTTGGATGCCAAGCGGGGCTGGGAGCAGCTCACTACTGACCATGCCGGTGAGAGCTCCGTTAGCGGCGGACAGGTAGGTCCAGTTGGGTTTCCCCAGGATGCCGACCCGCTTCATCAACATGGCGACAAGTCCTGGACATGAACAGACGGGGAATCATCATCAAGGACGCTTAAAAATGTCATCCAATCAAGAGAAAATATGAAACTGTTTTCATGTTTTTTTTTTAGATATTTCAAGAAAAAAAAGCTTATATATAAAGGGAACAGTGGCCGGACGTCGACTGTCGAATTGGACGAGAAATCTTTGCCAGACGTACATGTATATACATATGCATGGCTTTCGTCTGTCAATAATGTTGAGCCTGGCATCCGCCCTACAATATTAGCTATGGCTAAGATATGAATTCTCCAACGAATACTGATTCTGAGTAGAACATGAAAGGAGCATATTGAAGATATCTGATTTTGAATGGCGTAGCGTAAATTGTACGGTTATGATAAACATGACGTACCGCCCATGGCTGCTGAGATGACGGTGTTGACAGTGATAACAGACACAGCCTCCCCGTCCCCGGACCGGGAGATGGCGCCCTGTGCGCCCACGTTAAAGGCCAACAGTCCCAGGAACATCATGAAGGTTCCGAGAGACACTAGCTGTAAAACAGCATAATATCAAAATTCATTGTTTAAAGTTCAAACTTTTGGTCCAACACAAAAAATTCTATCCCCTTTAGCTTTCGACCAGTCACTCTGGTCTTCCTCAGTAGACTGACCCAGTGAGGCTTGTCACGTCCTTGTAGTGTGACGTCAACACTGGGTCAAAGGTATCTGGTAGACGATGTCAGCCCCCGTCGCGGTTAAGTGAAGGGTGGTGGGCCCTGATGTAAATAGCCTCCTTTACTCCTCTCAGGAAATAGTCTGAGGAATTATTTTGTTTTAGATCTCAAGTTTTAACTTTGAACATGTAACTACCAACACAGATGAACTTTCATGATAGTATCAAAATAAAATTATTTATAGACTTTCGATTACATGACTAAACAGCCACGAACTTGTAGTTCTAATTAGCCGAAGCTAACAGGACTGGAATTCAGGCTACTGAACTTGAATAACATGCAAAAAACAGGAGGCCATGCGCTTTGAAGATACGTGTACATGTACATTATACAGAATAACAGAATAAGTTTACTCAGCACATACTGGATGTTTGTGCGTTAATTAATTTATCTGCAAAGGTTTCTAGCAAATTGTACAGAGCAGTAATCTATACAATTCTTGCAGGTGAACAGAATGGTTTACAAGATCAATCTGCAAACAGATATCAAAACCGAAGTTTCTGCTGCAGCACCGACGAAATCCACCAGGGTGGCAACAGCTAATCATTATAGGTTCTCGTCAAGACCTACCCACCTACCAAGTTTCAAAACAATGCATAAAAAGCTTCTTGAGTTATGCTGTTCACAAACAGACGGACGGACAAACGGTACTGAAAACATTAACCTTCTTCGCAAGAAGGTAATAAAACACTGTCAGTCAAACATAAGTGTTTCCGTCCTTACCGGCACGTTGTGTTCAGGGATCCTGACCGCCCTCCGGCCTTCGAACCTGCCGATCCTCCGGCCTACCATGATGGCCCCCACCAGTGCAATAGCGCCCCCTGTCATGTGAACTACACCGCTGCCGGCAAAGTCCTGGAACAGCGGCCTTGAGAAGTTCTGGAAAGATAAAGCGACGTTCTAAACCGGTGCAATGGCCAATTCATTTATGAAAAATGTTAAACTGTTCTCCAACTCATAAGTTTGACTCACCGGAATTTTCGACTGAATCACTCAGTCTTCCTCAGCTATCTGACCCAAATGCCGTGGACACGTGATTTTTCCCACGTGTGACGTGAGCACACAGTGGATCTGGAGGGGGTTAGAATCTTGGATACCGAACAGGATTACTTCAAGAGAGGCATAAAAGAGGCCATATACATCAGGGCACTTCAACCATCGCTCAACCGGGACGGGGGGGGGGGGTATATCGACTTCAGACAACCGTTATTCCTTTGCTGACGTCACACGTGGGAAAAATAATGTAATTTACCAACTCAGATGAACTTTCAGGCCGATTGAGTGTTCGCCTTGAATTCGGAAGGTCGTAAGTTCAATCCCAGACGAAGTCATACCAAAGACATTAAAAATGGTACATACTGCTTTCCCTGCTTTGTACTCAGAATTTGGGGAAAAGTATAGGTCTTAAATATACGGCACAACCAATGGACAAGCCCTCTGTCGCAGTGTTGTACAGCTGTGTGGCCCAAGGGCTAGAAAAAAACGGAGATGGGCACTTCCCAATGCACCATATACAGGTGTGGCAAGGAACTTTGACTTGACTTTGGCTTTGAAAACGACGCTCTATGACTGTCTTATGTGTACTCCTATACATGTACATGCATTTAAAAGAAATCTGCAAATGCAAGCATGAAATTTAAAGACATCTATTACCAATCAATGATATACTGGTCTCCATTGACGAAAAAAGGGATCAAACCAGCTGCATGCAAATTTATTTTCTATCACAAAGAAACGAAATACGAAAGCTGCTGTAGTACATCTTCCATTTAAAATGTTAAAAAGAAACTTCAAGGTACACTAAATGCCGTATCTTACCGGGAAGACCAGACCAGGGTCCTTTGCTCCAATCCGCAGCCAGCCGGCGGGGTCCCACGCCCAGTGGCTGACCACAGGGTACAGGAAACCTGGACAGTAAACAACAAACAAACAAACAAACAAACAAACAAACTTCAGTACATGCGGTAACAGCAGACCAAAAGGTAAAATAATTTAGACTTTTTAAACCTCATCTAAATATTCATGGAATATTATGATACTATATGAGCAAATATAATATGCTTTCCTATATACATTGTATTTCCTATATATTGTATTTATTTCATTTCTGTAATCTTATAATAACCATTTCAATCGTGGTGCCGATGCGTGTAAAGACTAGCCTAGTATCCAGCCTATCTTAGCTGCCGAGTCTCTTTCATCCTTCCAGACAGACTTGGCAACTAAAATAGGTTTGGATACCAGGCTATGAAGAGGTCTCTTAGGGTCATATTCACGATAGTTTCTGCCGTATAAATTCTTTCGTTATGTACTAAATAGACACTTTTGAGGTTTGGAGTATACCCTGCCAATGTGTGTTATTTCCTGGTCTAAAAGTCGGGTAGATGATTTTTACAACCTTTATTTAACCTTGAAAATGTACACTATGTAACAGTAGTTACAGTACCACTCTTCGGCCTGAGCCGCTTTTCAAGAGTTCAAGTTATGACATAGTCCTTTGCTCCGTGGTTTCAAAAAAATTGCAGTACATGTGCGCCACCTACCGGAGATGAGCATGGCGTACACCAGGCAGGCGGCGAACTCCGCTCGCTCGGTCAGCGCCCTCGACACGATGGTGACGCAGGTGGCCGCCAGGGTGAACTGAAAGAACCACCTAGCGTGCGTGACGTCAACTACAGGCAGGCTGAGGAAGAAGTTGCTGTGGCCGAGGAAGAAGTTGCTCGGAGTCCCGTAAGCGAAGGCGTAGCCGACACCCCAGTAGGCGATGCCGGATATAACTGAAAAACAAATTGTGAATATATGCAAGATCTTAAAGATATTCTACATGATTTAGTTCAATTCGAAGACTTTTATTTATTGAACAGTGCAGTTCAATTACACACAGCAACGCTTTACATCTGGTAACGACACTCCGGTTTAGCTCACAAAAGTTTGAAGTATAGAAAAAACATTATTGGAACAACAAACTGTGCAGAGACTTTCGCATGGTCACAAACCTTAAAATTCTACAATATATAAATCTATATATAATATCTTATGACATTATTTCTGTTATATTTTATGTTACCATATCATTATAAAATCAAGTGGTGCATCGTTAGTTTTGCCTAAAGCGTAAACACACAAATGAATGTGTAGCAGGTTGTGACTTACAGACATTGAGCATGGTCCTGATGAGAATGTTGGTCGTGTTCTTACTCCTGACGGAGCCGGCCTCTCGGAACCCGAAACCCGCCTGCATAACTACAGCCGAAAACACAGGGCATTGATGAATCGTTGTCCGTTGCAAACTCTCATTAATTTGTATTTGTTTGTACAGATGTTTTTATGAACTCCTAAATCTGCTGCTTTTGACTTAAAATTTGATTTTATATAAATATTTGTTTATTTGTTTATTAGAATTCACAACACAAGTACAAACATACAAGTGGAAGGGAGGACACCTCTACAAGTAAATAGATATATAGACAATATATAGACAAATTAAGGATTCTACTTTTTCTTTTATGTTAAGTTTGGATTATGGCAACTTTGGCCTTTTTATAATTTTGCATGGTACGACTGTAAAATTCGGTTCCAAAGCAAAGATTATAAGGTAAAATACTAGAAAGGCCGACATTTGCTTTGGAGCAAATACAGCAATGGCTTCACCACATTTTACGACATGGCAGGGAAAGAATGAGAAACACAAGGGAAAACAATGCTTTACATTGATATAACTATAGTATGAAGTAACATACAACTAAGACTACAACAGTTGGATAGCTATTCCCTACATTATTGGTTAGGATTTTTAATTGCATAATGCAAACTGTTGATTTTCAAGAAAAAAAGAAGTGTTCATGCCCCGCATTCCAATGCTGGAGCAGGAAAGCTTGAAATACCTACCAAAACACTTGAATACAGACATACTGTCAGTATGGAATGGATCTGAGCAGGTATTAATTAAGTTAAGCCTGTTAAATTCCAACAGCCAATCAGCAAGGAGAATAGAGGAAAGCTGCATGCCTATTGGTTGATGCCCTGCATTCCATTGTGATGACTCATGCCCAAATGTGGTAACACTGCACACTAACTCAGTAATACATTTGCTATAACACAGCCAAAAAACTCAAATAAAACCATTCTAAAAGCCTGTATCACAAAAATTTAAAAACGCCTAGGGGTATTTGCCCACTGTACCTCCATACCAAATTTCAGGACCTTAGGCCCTAAAATGAAGAAGCTGAATCCATTTAAAAAATGGCAGGAGAAGGAGAAGGAGAAGGAGAAGGAGGAGAAGAAACATCAGAAAAAGCAATATGGGTTCACCACCACTTCGTGGTGTGGTGAACCCATAACTAGTAAGTCCTTGTAAATTGATTCAATATGTCTACCTTATTCAATGTGTAGATGGAAAGAAAAGACTACAAAGTGGCCTTGAATCATCTACAATCATCATGCACCGGCAGTTTAGTTCAAATTAACAATTGAGTTACTCTTTTAGTGATGATGACGGAGAAGAGAGACACTACACATGTATGTATTGTTTTTTTCAACATGCAAAAAATACAATACATAGTGGTGGCGCACTCAAGCAATATGCTTCACGTCACTGCTAGACATAAAATAAAAAATACATCACAAAACATGGGTATCGTCCAGGTAACAAGAGAAGAGTTTAGCTATAGATATCATAAGTTTAGTTTAGATATCATAAATGAATACAGTACAGAAGTATAAATCAGTTGTTAAATCGTTTGATTTCAGAGAGATATAGCTGTGTAATAATGAGTATTTGACAGTTGACATTTGATGAAAGTAAAGGTGATCCATTAAGTAGCAGATACACAGTAGCACTATCGGAAAGTTTTTTTTTATTCCAACATGTAATCACCAGACGTGGTGACGGCACACTCAATTTTTTTTTCAACTTATATTAATGCCGTCACCAACACAGGGGACAAATACATGACAGGACAATACTAGTACTCATTTTCACCTGAGCGAAGTGAGGAAAGTCATGTAAAGTGCCTTTCCGAAGGGCACAAGATCGGTGGCATGTGAGGACTCGAACCCGGGACCTCTACATGTAGGTTCCGAATCGCGCACTCTGCCGTTACGCCACACGACCCCACAAGGTTGTAAAGGTTGTTAATATCCAATAATGGGACGTTTAATTGTAAAAGTCTGTCGAGGAGGCGTGCACGATGTTGGGTGTACATGGGGCAGTGAAGTAAAAAATGAGGAATGCTTTCGCTTCGGAACCCGCACATGCAAGAATGACTTGTAGCTAATTTACGGATAAACAGACTATGATTTAAGCTGCAGGTTCCGACCCGAAGGCGCGTTATGTATTGTTACAGTATATACAGGTTAGGACATGCGGGTTCAAAAGGAAAAACAATAGAACAGACATGACGCCACCATACGGAGTCCATGTCCCGCATATTAAACACATACACCTGTCCTCAGGGACATTTTGTCAATCAATCAATCAATCAATCAATCAATCAATCAATCAATCAATGGTTTATTGTGGCGACTCAAAACAACCATACAGTGGCAACTTGACACCATTCTTTTAAATATTACTACTAACCGTAAGTCTTCCCGAAGATTGATATACTAATGTATCTATATATTTCCTTCGAAAAACTCTAACATAATTCAGTTTGATTTGATTTGATTTGATTTATTGAAATTGTAACAGTGCAATACACGTGGGACACAGGCAGCTGTTGCTGGTGTTGTGTCCCACACATAGAAACAAGTACAGGACAGGCAATTCTCATTTTCACTTTAGTTAAGAGTGGAGAAAGTCGTGTAAAGTGCCTTTCCTAATGTCACACGATCGGTGGCATGTCAGGACTCGAACCCGGGACCTCTTGGTTCCGAGTCGAGCACTCATAAGCCAACATAAGTCTTACAGTTTGTCCTCCTATCTAGTTTATTAATACAAACAGTGGAAATATAGCCTCTACCAGTATTCGGAAGCGGTTAGAAAGAGTAGAGATTAGTCAATTAGACAGCAGGGCGGCAAATGTACTACTTAGCGGACCAATACCCCCTGGCATGTTTTCTATCTGTTTGGCCAATTTCTATAGCTACTCTTTTGAGCCACTTCCAAAGACTGGTACAGGCTAATAGAAATACGTCATAGCGATGGTTAGATTTTATGGATTTACGGTACATACTAGTACATATTTAGACGCTAAAATATATGTAGGAAATGAATGATCAATGTCATTGAGGACCATGTAACGAACTGGCAATGTAACGAAACGACCGGTTACCTTTGTCTACAAGTCAGTAGGTGTTACGTTTTTTTACCCTAATATACACAGAAAGAATCCCTATACTTAACAGCATACAATGTGTAGTACCTGTCGGCTACGGTAGTCTGTCCTTGAGTGGTGCCCCGTGGGACTGTATCTCGGTAGTTATCGCGTGTATACACGTGTGATCAGTAATGACAGGTGTCACACTGTTACAGGCGGGCCGTCTGTCACTCAGGTAGACCCAGTTGAACAGGTCTGTAGGGGAAAGGTCGTCCCAGCGCACAGAAACAATACAGCTTTGTCGGCCTTTGTGTAGCCTGGTATCCACTCTGATCGTGGTCGGGGCCGAAAGAGCTCTGTCCCGCCCGCCTCACATAGGTTTCCCGATGTGTATTTGTTGGGGGAAACCAAATCCCCAAGTATACTGTCTCTTATTAGCGTAACTCTCCTACCGGGACGGTCTGTTGTACTGGGCGGGGGAAGCTATTAGAACCCCCGAAGGCACAACCTGCCCGAACACCCCAATACCCCCAATCACGTAAGACTGGATACCAGGCTACCTGTGTGTAGCTCTTTGTGGGATGCTTCTGTTTTGAGCCAAACTGTGTCAGCAACGTTTCATACAGCCTGAAGTCTGTGTCGCGCCTCTGTTAGGCCACACCGATTACTCTTATGGATGACATCCGCGCGTGCATTAATTTTCGCCTGTTCATGGCACGTCCTCCGAGGCTCTGGCCTGGCTCTAGGCCTGGGTAGTTCATGGTAGTTGGCGATAATACGGAGCCGGGCAACCAGGCTACCGAAGCTCCACGACTCAAGAACTCAGTACATACGTACAGTGCCGATTCATAAATTCCGCAAAAAGCCAGCATATGCCGGCTTGCCATATACATCGCCATGTACTGCCGCAAATTTACAACACCAGCTTGTATCCCTGTGGTTTAGTAGCATTTTCATTTTTGGACGGAATCACTTTGCTTACACTCGCGGTACATTGTAGTGCAAAAAGGAAGAACTGCATATAGGATTTAAGATTTTTAAACTTAAGTCTTAAAAAGAGACAAATCTAACACCATTGTCTTTTGTTCTCGTAAAGACAAGATCAGAGATGTCGAACTGACATCGCACATTTGCGGGGAAGACCAAAAATATGCGACATACGGGCATATAAAAAAACTAAAAAAAATTGTTATCCCTAGGGTCCGGACAATACTAGTTAGACCCACATATTCTGTAGAGTGGCTGTCAACAGACTAGTATATAATATTCATGATAGATTTCTTTTTTTTAATATATATATCACGAGAAAAATCTGTAACGTCAACTTCCCTAAGTAACATTCTAAATCAGAATCGTAGTGTCATGATTGAATGGTGACAGCTATTTCAAAAGCTTCGAGAAAAAAGGCTTGAAAATAGGTTCAGGGTTAGGGTGTGTCAGACAAACACATGTTTTTTTTTTACTACATTAACTTTTATATGGTGCCTACGGAAGTCACAAATATCCTCCAATCATGTTCTGCACTGTCACAAGTCTTGTATAAATGAATTACAGAGTGCTCACGACGACTTAAAAGTATAACCAAAAAGGTTAAAATCTACAGGGTATAAGGAACAGTGTTATGTGAAAGAGAGAGTGGTAAGCTATAGTGATATACATTAAGGACCTGTCTAACAGGGTGTGACCTATGGCGCCATATGGGACATACATGTCCTAAATTAACCATCTTTCCCCTAGAATTTTTTCTATCAGATTAACAAGCTAGATGCTAGACCAACATAATTTTAGAAGACTAGCATAGACCCCTGAGACGAAGTGGTTAGTGTAAGTTAAAGCAAAGGTAGCCTTATCAATGGAACCCAGCCTTGGGGGCTAAACCTAAGATAGGTACTCACAGAAGACGAATAATCCTGTCACAACTAGAAACAGTTGGTCCGAGTTTTTCTGTAGCACGGCCAGCGCCTCCACTGTCGTAAGATTCCGGGACGCCATCTTGGTGAGTCTGACTGTGTCTCAGACGCGCACAGGCTCAACAGTGAGAAGCAGGTGGCAGGGCGTCTAACACACCCTAGTGCTAACTGCGAACTAAATTTGAAGCAAGGACACAGTTTTCGTTGCACTGATTTGCCCTGTGATGAGACACCACCCAGGCCTTCAGGCAAAATAAGGCACCGACCTGTTCCATTGTCATGCAAATTTACGGTTGGGTTAGTCCACTCAGAGAAAAATAAGGGTGAAAAGTTGCTCCTTGAAGTTTTCTATTTGTTTACTACAATGACAAAACAAGACTCACCACTCACATGTTTTGTGCTACAAGAATGGACCCTGAAGAGAGATTTTTGTTTACCTTAGACTTGAAAAATATACGATTGTACCCATTTGGTAAGCCTGGAAGGAAGTCTGTTTCATAGTAAATGTAGTTCTAGGACAGAACAAAGATGGAAAAATAATAAAACAGTTGGTGTGGAAAGCGTGTTGCAATAACATGGTACATACGGTGTCTTTGGTAGGGCCTCTACCAGAACACCCATGGTCTACGCTGTGTATTCTGTGTATGTGAGAATGTTTTTTTGCACTATGACATAACACAACTTCCGTGTGTGTGTGGACCATTCCATGTTACACTGCAGTACAGGTGTGAATCAGGTGACTCGTTCGACAGGTATCATCTCGGATTACGGTAGTTAACACACACTAGGCTTTCTTCAGGGTCACCAATAACAGTTCCGCAACTAAACGCACGTTGTTAGCAGAAATGCACCCAGTGGGCAGCGCCAGTCATCAGGCAATAATAACCTTGCAATAGCTAAACCGGGTAGAGTGCTCGCTTTGTAACCGGGGGGTCGTGAGTTCAAACCCCAGCCGGGTCATACTTACCCTTGTCCTACTGACATTCCTGGCACAATATTTTTCAATAATTTCATGTCATAAGTAGATCATAGACCCCCAAATTTTTTGCCCTGCGGTGTAATAGTTACTTCCGCATTCGTTGCGAGGTGATGCGTTGCACGAGAAATACCCCCAAATCGTACCTATACAGGGTGCTATATAGATGGTACTGTATGTGCAGAACAACAATTGTTGCGCTCATCATCAGCAGGACAAGGGTCAAATATTAAGACTCAATAATGGCACATACTGCTTTCTCTGCTCAGCACCCATGAGAAAAAGTATATGAAGGTCAAACACACAACACTACCAGTGGCCGCTAGCCCCCTTCTGTAGTGCTTGCACTACTGTGTGGCTCAGGGGCTACAGAACTGGACATGTGCACCACCCATATGCTCCGCAAGGAGTGGAAAGGGACCTTCTTCTTCTTTCTCTAATGCGTTGTATTTTTGACGAATAAATGCTGGCTTCTAAAGTAGATGCCTGACGAAAAAAAACGTGCAATTATAACGATTTACTTGTTGATTATTTACACCCAAAAAAAAGGAAGAAACACTCGCGTTAACGTTGGCGTTTACAAGAAAACTAAAATGACGAGTCATATGCCAGGGGGTTAGGTTAAACCTCATCAAAACCTGGCCAAATTTTTGATAAAGATATAGAAATAAATGTCGTATGAATTATTTAGTGACAGGCTCGTCCGTACCAACCTTCTACGAAATGAAGTCATCTCAGGAACGAGCAGCTTTTGTGTGTCGTTAGCCTGGTATCGATATCGTGGTTTGGTTGGGCTGTCTTCGGGGTTGCAGTAGTTTCCCCCCGCCCAGCTCAACTAGCTGTGCGGTAGGAGTTTTGCGCCCTGTAGGAGTTTTGCTCGACAAGAGTTTCATTGGGTGGGCCGTGCAAAACTAGTTAATTCGGGCGGCGGAGAGCCCATTCAGCCCCGAAGAGAGCCCACCAAAACCACGATGGACTGGATACCAGGCTAACATGTCGTGTGTGACTCTAGCGACTCCACCCTTGCAATTACGGCCTAATTGGCGACAATAATTGCGCTAATTTACAGGGGAAGAAAAATTGCATACGCCTAAAATATTTATCACAATCATCCTTGTATCACAACTGCAATTTTCTTCAGAGCGTGTGTGCATTCGCCATTCGCAGCCAGACCTGATAGGGTTGTAGCGCTCTTAGTTTCATCGCCTTGGAGGTAAATTCCAAGATGAGTTGGCGTCAACGGCTCCTACGGTTTCACTCGGATCGACAGGAGTTAGTGTACTAAAAACTGTTTTCTGTGCGCCTCTCGACTTGGAGTATACAGCAGTTGGTGTTGACGTGGTTTCGTTTCTGTTTGAAAAATACTGCTAGGAACAGCGGGCTCGAGTTGAATAAGAACTGCAATTTTCTCCAGTCTCTTGAAACTTTCCGGACGACCACAAGCAAACCGTAAGAGCAGAAAAGGGTCACAGTCACGTCAGGGGAGCACTTCACGTGCCTCTTCTCTTCTGTATTTTTTTTTTTTTGACGCGTTTCGTTGTAAACATACGAGACACACACAAAAAAAAAAAACATGACAGGATTTCAACTGTGTTGTGTCGTCGTGATCTGCTGCGTTTTTGGCACCACTGCGCACCAAGGTAAGAACTACAATGATCTAGTAGTGCATTTTAATTAAAATTCCTTATTTTGCCTGAATTCATTTTTTATCGCAAAGTCATCTATACATATGTACAACCAGACAAAATGTCGAACATGTTTTATAGGCTACTTGCACGATGATTTGGGCTATACGAGTTCAACGATTAGACATACGAAGCTAATGTGAACGGATATTATTCCGTCGTTTAGAATACTTCAAAGGGAAAAACAGGAATGTAGTCTGATTACGTTCAATTTGAGAACGAAGTGCCAGCCGCCAGCTGCACAAAGGATTCAATGTTGAATATCATATAATAATATGTTGTTTTATCATATAAAACAGACTATGTGTTACTTAGTAACACGTAGTCATTGCGAAACATATGTGTTTGCTGGTGGTCAAAATATCATATTGTCTTGTTTGGATGTTTTTAATTCACCGTTTTAAAGGCATGCATCCTATCGAAATACGCAGTAGAAAGATATTTCACTAATTAATACGCCGTTGTACTGAAAAATAGAACTATTTCTTGATACTTCACGAGTATTGGCAAGTTTAGAATTGAAGCTGAAAAAAACGTGTATCTAAAAGTATTTCAAAGCTACTATAACTAAATACATTAGTGGTTCTACAATGAGATATTAGAAAGGTTTTCGCGGCCATAAGCTATCATTATTACAGGATTTCCTGGATATATATATTGACAGGTATTTTGGGGCTAACTTTTCATATTTGGTACCATACCCGTCTTTACAGACAATCCTCAATGGCTGGACGTTTTCTCAACTATGAATGAAACGGGGCAGACTGTTTACGACGCCTGGAGTACTAATGGACAAGTCAGCCACAACAAGTGCCCAGTTGTAGACCAATGGGAATCGCTTCACATCCAACGGGTAAGTTTCTGCTAGACCCGTGTGGTTATTGCTACTGTGTTACTTTTGTTTTGTCACATGTCCATACTTTTAGTTTTCACAACCATTATAACTAGCATTTTTGACAAACAGAATTGGATTTAAGCAGCTAAATCTGTTCTCAATAAGTAGAGCTGCATATAACTCAAGAATGAGGGGCGATTTTTTTAGCGGCACAGGAAGTAAAATTGTCTTTTGCAGGTGAAGGTTGTGTTGGAGTCCTCGGAAGGAAATGTAGAGCTGATTTTTAATGGGACAAACACTGACAAGTTCAACTGGTTCAACAAGTCTCGTCTGCTCTCATCTCCTTGGAACGACATCAGCACCGAGCCTCAAAACTTCTTCTCGATCGAAGGAGACCCAAATTTGAAAAGGTAAATCTTGAGCCTTTGAAATGTAATAAACTTTCTATCCGTTGCATGGAATTGCCCGATTCGTAGTGAATCTTTATAACGTCCATGAGATTAAATGTATTAATTGAAAACAACACGGCTTTCTTTGTTGCAGGTCTTTTTACATCAATCGCAACTATGGTGGTTGCCCCCAAGACACTGGCTGGCTTGGGGTGGCCGACGGTGGTCCACTCGGCGGATGCGAATGGGAGCGAGCTCCGGAAGATCAGCTGCCTTACATCCGCTTTTCTAAAACCACAGGCTACGCTAACTTCAACGGTGCGTGCAGTACTTACATACCCCTATATATGTCCTTGTGCAGATGGGCCATGTCTAAGTTGACTTTTCTTATCTGATAATTGAGTTAGGGTCAGGGCAGCTATAATGAACTGATTCTGTTACGGACCAAAATATGTGGAAAATACTAGTAGCTATTTTTCAGCTGTCTATGCCTGCTGCTATGAATATGTTAAAACAACTTAAGGAGCCTGAGCCATGATGTCTTGTCTGATTTTTTAAATTGTTCCATTTACTTTATACAGGGGGTGATATTGCAACGGCCGATCGGATGGTCATCTACATCGACACGCCCGGAAACAACGTGCTGTGCTCCTGCCCTGCTGGACAATCTCTTAGTGAAGATGGCACCCGGTGTGGTCAGTGGTTATATCATTGAAAATTATTTAGATGTGGGGATGTGGATCTTCTCTTGCGTCATTATTGTTTAGTGCACCTTTAATGAATAACGTTACATTTGGTACGAGGGCATGGTCAACTTGCGTTCATATTTGAAATGCAGTTTGTCGTATTGATTTTGTAACATGATCTAAACAATCCACCTTAGACTTTCAAATGGGTGGTCTTAGCGGATGAATACACTCAACGGCATTATTACATCAGTCGTTAGTTTCATCTGGGAAGGAGATATCCTTCCGCGAAAGGGTACAGTAACCGGTCGTGGTTTTCATGTTCGCAGCTGTTTCTCGCGGTGGGGTGGAGATGAGAAGCATTTACAATTCATTAATCGTTAAGGTCAATCACTTGGTGGAGGTATGAGATCTTGGGACTCTAGCTAGTTTTAACCACAAATCTACGTTAAGTAAATCACCTGTGAGTAAATACTAAAAATTGATAAATTGAACGTGAACAAGTTTAGGTATCAGGGATGTCTAATAGCACCGTAAAGGAGCGGGTAATAGTTGTATATTTTCCTAATTACGCTTCAAACATAGTCTCTTCTTTTACATAACTTGCCATCTGGTCAACAATTTTTTTCTCTAATACGTGATCTGCTAGTTTTCTGAGTATGTGATGTCTATAAATGTGTTGT